TTTTGGCAGTTAAACAGTTTTTTGTGAAAATTTAATTTTTCACATATTGGCATTTTCAAGGTGTGACTTTAAAGTTCCATGATCTTGAAGACTTTTGCTTGTCACATTTTCTGAATGTCCATGTTACTAATATTTTATTAATAACATTTGATTGTCATTATGCTGTTAAACATTATGTAATGTTGCATCAAAATTTGAAGAAACCCCTATTTTGGGCACTGCTCCTATGATGACCATTTAAGGGAAATCATGTCACTTACTGTTCTCAAACTTACAGGAAAGAAACATGGGTCTAACATACAGCTTCAATAGGCAACGCAGTCTGTTTGGTAAATTTTTCTGGCAATTTAACAGTTTTTTGTGAAAATTTAATTTTTCACTTATTTGCATCTTTATTTTCTGTTCTTTGTCTGTACATTTGACAGCTTTGCTGCCTTGTTTTTACTTTTGATCCTTTTCTGGTTAAACATGGTTTATCACTTGGTTTGTTCTTGGTGTGCTTCATATCAACTATAAGTGTACACTCGCTGTAATTTTATGATTTCTCAGATGATGTTACCCTATAAACTCTTATGAAGTGCCTAGGCAATATTCTTAATGGGATCTTGTTGTTTCTGTACCAGATAATCACAAGTTAAATTAATTATAAGTGTTTTGACACAGAGGTTATTTAATCAGCAAGGAGGTGCCGTATTTGGCTACTTATAACAGCCATATGGCACCTATGGTCTAAACAGCAGGGAGATCTATAGATCATGAGTCTGGCGACATTAAACTAATAACATTAATTGATTTGTCTACATGTTTGATACCAAAGTTTATGTAGTTTGTGACTAGGATTAGCAATTAGTGCAGAAAAGGTTAGCTTCTTGGGATTTAAATAGGCTACGTTGATATCTGGCAATTTATGATACAGATGTAAGATCCTGGCAAATGTCTGCTTTACCTGAACTCAGGTGAGACAAAGCAGAGGATATATAACATATTGCACATTTCTCCACAACACAGGTATCTCACATTCCATAGTCATAGTTCACAAACAGTTGCAAAAACATTTCCATGCCTTATGGATACCTGGACCTACATGATAAGCATGACTATGATCCGCCCTGAGAAAACAACATGTTCTCTCATCTCCAGGGAAGAAGTCATTACAGATTCATACTCTGAAGTCATACTGTTATCAGTATTTTTTTATTTATTTTTTTACAAAATCATGATTTTTCCTCGTGCCTTGAAAAATTGGTGAAAATAGTCCCATGATAATTTATCTATATGTATTTGTATACCAAATTAATTGTTTATTTTGCTTATTGGGAACTTTAAATTTGCTGGCATGAACCTTCAGACAGATACGTGGATGTTATTAAAGAGATAGGCAATGTAAAGTATAGACAGGGCTGTTTAGTCGGAGACTGAAAATTACATTTGCACAATAATTTCTGTCAGTAGATATGAAACTACATTATGCATAATAGAACAAGCTTATCCTATCAAGGTCCAATCATAGGAGCTCTAAAGGGTAATGGGGAAATGGTATTAATGATGTGTTTGATTATGGTGTATATTCACAAATTGTCATAAATATATCATCCTGATGATTCAGCTGTCATTAAACAGGGATGAAAAAAGCCAGCCCTGTATCAGCATGTACTTTTCAGTCAGTTTCTCTTTCACTGTCCATGCAGACATCAAAGACTTTCTTAAATACATAAACTAACCACACCTAAGACATATCACCAGTCAGGTATAATAAAAAGCCCTGGTAATGCATCTCCTGGTTTACATAGTGAAGAAGGAAAGCAATGAACCGTGGCTAAATAGAAGCTGAAGGGTCCAAATATATAACTTAGCTCTTTTACCAGACGTTGTGCTGGAAGACAATAAAGTAGAGAAGTCTTTTTACTTTAATCTTTGATAAAAGGATGTATCCATTAAGTTTGGTACATATGGTTTGCAATTTATCCATCTGTCTAAACATACCCCATAAAAGAAGTATGCATATACTAATTCATCATCTTTTAGAGCTCCTGTTAAACAGAAAACACCAGTCTGGTACTGTAAATACACAGGACAAGCTACCTGGATCACTTTTAATAGCTTTTGGATGTGCCCTCTGGCATGACTCATGTACTTATTCTAGGGAGTTTTACTGGGTTCAAAGCACTTAATTATTCCCATGAGAAATTGTTTGTTCTTGGACCCAAGGTACAAGAGCATTTTTGTGCCATTATATTTATAAATGCCAAAAGTCGTCCATATTTATATGAGTGTATGGATTACTATTGCTAAAATGTTAGGATTCTTGTATACGTCTTGATATGTTCTTGAAATTGATATATTTATGATAGTTCATTTCATATCAAATGATGAAAAATGAAATAAAATGGGTTTTAATAATAAGAGCCTAATTTGTTGTTGTAATAAGTTAAAATTGAGTTAAAATGACTTTTTAGTCTTTTTAGTCCTCTTGGCATTGAGTAGAATACAGAAAAACTTGTGATTATATGAGTATGTCGGAAACAAAAGGTAAACTGATAGCATTCAACAAAATTCCCCATTGAATTGGATCGATGTACATAGATAGTTTCATCGGGAATAAGCCCTAACATAATCCTTGTCTGACCAGACCATCATATGTATCTAGTTTTCCTCTTATATCAGGTGTTAAAAATATGATGGATGGTTCTATTAAAAGGTTGACTGGCCCATGCTGTCCAGTCTGCCAAAACTGATTCAGTTCTCCATCCATGCATTGCCTGGTATAGCCCTCTTTAACCTTTCCTGTAACTCTGACATTTTCCTTGAGAGGATTGGAATATCTGATCTTTCATTCCAGACAGATCAGGTCTGCAGGTCTTTTGATGGGACCTGCAGGTCTTATGGTGGAAGTGAATTAAAATCCTAGAATAAGATGATGTCTGTGGTTTACTCTGTTTACTATTGAAAATACAGATAATTCTTTTTTTAAATTCTTACCTAGGTACCTCTATCTAGGCCTTGACACATTAATTGAAATGCTTGATATTATTCAAGTCTATCTTTTGCATATCTAGGCATATCTATTAATCTTCACAAGTCCAAGGTGAAGGCTTGTACCAATCTTTCTCTAAATAAGGCCAAAAACAGAACATATGTTGAAGGGTGTGAAACAAAGCGTTTGAATACTTTTGAAACACCTTGATCATCCCAAGCTACCAAAACTGCACAGTATGTCTAAATATTTGAGGGCGGTGAATAAACATGGTGCCACTTTGCAGATTTCAGAAAAATTTGACTGCAGTATTTTTTTATATATCTTATCCATACAACATTTGAAAAAGTTCTTGACGGACCTTGAAGTCACCTGGATTTTTTATAAAATTTTTGAAAGTTTTATATGCAAATTCAACCTCTCTTTCTTATAACACAAACATCAGATTCTTTCTGAAGCCGAATTACAAGAAGACAAATATGAAAAAGATTCTACTGCAACACAGAAATCATGGTTCTTCTGAATTAAAAATGAGATAAATGGGATATGCACAAATACTATTTTATGAAAGTTGTAAGTATGTAAAGATTTTGTAAAAAAAATTATATTTAGATTCCTTTTTTCTTTTCCAGCTATTTCAAGATCTTGGGACAGAGGTGCTACAGTCTGCCTATGAGGGATACAACGCCTGTGTGTTTGCCTATGGACAAACAGGGACAGGGAAGACATTCACCATGATGGGGGACCCTGTAAGTAGCAAAGACTTGAGCATCAATGTCTTTAACTTTGGAAAGTTATTTTAACTATTCATTCCAAGTTTCCAAAGCATGAGTTGACTTTTTTTGTTCTAAAAATATCTCAGCAGACAAATGTTCACACTAGGAATTAGTGTGCTTCTGTGATGAAGTGATTTCTAAAAGGTGATGCATCCATGGTTCAGCTTAAACCTTGTCCTTGTCCTGTCTCTTCACTAGCACCTCTTGGGTCATTTTAGTGTCATATAAAGTGTAAGTTAAAGATGAAATGCAAATTTATGATAATACACTCAAAATTTGATTTTAATCAGTCCACTAGAAACACTCAGCATCTATTAAAAATACAGCTCTGTTTGTGAAAAGTTTGGAATGGATACAGATTGACACAGTGAATTTTAAGCAGTGGCAACAATGCCTAGACCAGATTACTGCCAGACACATACATGTAGAGTGGACATTGTATGTCCAGCTGATTGAGTAGCAGTGTAATTTACTTTGGCTTATCTGTAAGGCTTGAAGTGCTGTAGGAAGGTAGATAGCAAGGAGGAAGACTGCTTGATGACTTCATTTCCTGGATTCAACTGCCTTGTTAATGGGATTGTTGAATAAAGACATTCATTGCAACACTGGGGGAGAATTTGCTTTTTTTAAATTCTCATTTAAACACTATGGAATAAAAATATGGAGTCCAGAGATATCTGACAAAAACTTTTATTGTCCAGATTACAGTATATTAGCACATAATAAGATTTTTAAAAAATCAGCAGTTGTTGCATTTCATAGGAAAAAGTGTTGTGTTATTTCAGACATTGTATGCAGGCAATGCAAACAATGCTTGTGTGGCATTTGCTGATATGGTTTTGGTACAGGTAGAAAGATTTGTATATACTTTCCTTGAGAATAAACAGTGGAAAGTCTGCCTTCATTTTTTGCTCAAATTTCACAGATAAGAGCAGCTGTAAGCATCAGATAAGGACTGAAAGAATCTTTAACTTGTAAGATTTGATGAGGATTATATTTGTCATTTCCTGTGGCTAATTCTAATATTTCAATAAGTCACAAAGCGGGGTTTCTTATCAGTTTCTTATTTTTGTAATTAAGAATAAAGCCTGCCATATCTTTTGTTTTATCATAGGATTGTAATTACAGATTGAATTGTCTGTATTGTTAATTTGGTACTTTCTTTCATATCAGGAACAAGTTGGCCTAACACCAAGGATATGTGAGGTAATTTATATTCTAACAAAAGATAAAGCATATTTCAAGAGTTATCCAATTTAATTCCAAGTGATAGATAAGTAAGTTATTTATCATTATACTGTATCTTATGGCCACAGTACTTGTCCTTTTTTATTCATCCAGTATTTTACTTTAAAAATATTTTACTAAAAAAAAAAACACATGATACACATATTGATATCAACATTTTCCGTTTTAGGGCCTTTTTGCTCGTATGGATGACACAGATGAAGGAGAACATATTTCATACAGGATAGATGTTAGGTAGGGAGAAGAAGCAAAAACAAGGTTGTAACAGAAGTGTATCGCCTTACCTAAACCTGAATATTATTCATGGCCTTGAATTTTTCTTTTAAGATCAATACATATCAGTTGTCTCCATTAGCACACTTGTGTTAATCAAAACTTAAAGAAAAGAGCCATATCCTAAATATAAGTAACTTAGTTGTCAAATGTGCATAAAGATTTCTAATTTGACATGTTTTTTGTTCTGTTTTATTTCAGTTACCTTGAAATTTACAATGAGCGTGTTCGTGATCTTCTTGCCCATCCACTTTCAAAGCATCATGAAAAATATACTCTCAAAGTTCGTGAACACCCAAAGGACGGTCCATACGTACAGGGTAAGGGCTGAGACAAGAGAACAAAACTAATGGCGCAATTCTTTCTGTCATTATTGTACCAAAACTGTGTGCCATGATCTAGATATTGGTGCATTTTCAGATAGGGTTAATTGTATAACTGCATGAAAGAAAGAAAAGGAAGGAACCACATCTGATTCTATTACAGCTCTTTAAAACGTTGGAGGAAAGAACATTGTGGCTGATCAGAAGTTTTCTTTCTATTCCTGCTTTGTTTTGTATGCCTGCATAGAAAAATTCATTGCATATGTCGATTGTTTTTCTCTAAAAAGCAAATAAAACTTGCAAAAAAATTGCTACTAAGAAAAAATATCTTTTGAAATCTGTACGCACCACATAAGGTTGTCTGAGAAGAATTGATTCGAATTTAACCATTTTTGCCTGGCCAAAGTGTAATTTTTTTTATTAGAAATAATGTGCCCAGGAAATTCAAGTCACATTGTGAACGTTTTCACATGTCAGTTTAATAGCAAATCAAGGTCATTATTCTTTTTTGTTAATGTGAAAAGCATGAAATTGTTATTATGAGTTTGAATGTCATTTAAGTAGCATATAATGCAATGCAAGTGGTAAGTGCAATTTGGTGGACCAAACATTAAGTAACTTGTCAATTGCTCCACATGCAGAACTCTGTTTTGAAATAGTTTGGAAAATGTTCCGGGACTGGGTAAAAAAGTAATTGTGAAGGCATGAACTATTTTTGTCAGCAGTATTACGTACAAGAAAGGAATTTGTGGACTTTAGTCTGATCATTGGTAGGCTTTGACGCAAAAAATTGGTCTTTTTTCAGAAGTCATATGGTTAGTTGGCCAGAAAATAATTAAAACCATCCTCAAAGTTTGGAGATTTTTAGTATGTTTTGTTTGGTTGCTATAGAGAAATATAATGAAGTGCACATATTTCAGTTTAAGGATCTTCTAGTAACCAAATGGAGGGTAGTTAAATACGTATGATTTGCTAAGATTAATATGACATTTTACCATATAGTGGAGAAGTATTGTTATAAAACCAGGACTTTCTTAATATAAAGCACATTTTTTTATTTTCTCCAGAATTTTTTTCTGTGGCAGCATAAATCACAAAAGCCATAAAGCCATGAAAAATACACAATGCCATCGGTTCCTTAGCACTGTCAATATTACCCTGATTTTTTTACACTAGAAAAGAATAAAAAAGCAAATATATTTTAATTGTAGGTCTTGTAAGGAATTATACACCTCTCCGGCTGTAATTATTAAATGAAAATGCCTTTTAACTTTAAGTACTTCAGTTGCAACAATATGCAGAAAGATGTGATAAGCATCTATCATATTTCTGTTTGTAGTGAGCTATGCTATGCCCCTGCATTCATCTTACAAAGTATACATAAGGAATAGAAACAAACAAAATGTTTGTTACCTTTGTTTGGGGAATTGAAATATATCAAATTATAAATAGATATATTTCAGTAGTTTGTAGTTGTTTGCAATTTTCTTTTAGATAGATATGCAGTACATATAATATTTTATTACAAAAATATACATATTTGCATGACAAAATTTATTTGTACTTTTTCAGATCTTTCTAGACATTTAGTCAAGGAAAACCAATCCATTCAAGCATTAATTGAAAAAGGCAATGAAAACAGGTAAGTTACCCCCTAAGTTTCTCCTAGACTGTATGTTATAAAGCAAAATGACATACCCTCCTTCACAAACACCCCCCCCAAGAATACCCTCTTTCCTTTACACAGTTTTTATAGGTTAATATCTTTAAGGAAAATTGCTGTCAAGGTTAGACAGTAACTATGAAAAAATAGCTATTTCGAGATAGTTCAAGGTCCCATTGCAGCAATCATTTATCCAAAACCATTTTAGCTCTAGGAAGTAGACAGACTGCATATGAATGTCTGGGTCATGCTGAGGAGGCTGTTTTCCTCTATTAATCCACACATTGGCTTATTGTTCCAACATCTCATATATCTAGGATTACATTCGGGAGGGGTTTAAATAAACCTTTTTCCTGGTGATTGTCCAAGATTTTTTTAGGGCTTGGCCTTAGAAGGACAGGAGACCTCCTCGATGTCAGCTGTTTTTTCTGGCATACTTGTACTTTTTACAAAGAATTCCAAAAAGAATTAAAAATTAAAAAGAATTCCAAGGGCAACCTTTCTAAAACTTCAGTCATATAAGGAAGTGATTCGATGCTATGTTATATTTATATATTTTTTTGCAAAAAGGAAATGTCAAATCAATATGTATTTAATTTTGCATAGTGCAATAAAACAGTAAGGTTATACAGTACGTTTTGTTAACAAAAGAAACTTATGAGGTATATTGTATTCTGCATAAAAGAAGCAAAGTTTACCCAGGGAGCTTGGTTTGACTGACAAGTGCTAACATTGCAAATAAGTACAAAGATATCCCTTGGGAGTTTGGTGGTTGGATGGGTTAATTAGATAGTCACATAATTAAGGAAAGATCTTTACATATCTCCTGGAATAACTCTCCAAATCTCCAAATGGTTTAAAAGGTGTCAAATTTGACTCACATGTTACATGTCATTTTCACATGTAACACGTAGACACCGTTATTTAAAACATGATTTTGCAGAACAGTACACCAAACATTTGTGTCTACCATAGAGTGATGAATAAGCATGATGAAGACAGTGGCACCACAGGTAGCCAGGTAAATACCTGATTAAATGCCACTGATGGAAATACCTTTTTACAAGACAAACCCTGTTCTCTCGATGGCTGTATGCATTTTGTACAGAGTCTTTGTCACTGCTGAGTATGGGCAGTGTGAAATATATTGATCCTGTGGGGAAACTAGAGCTAGATCAAGTAATTGCTATTGTTGGTTTGGGGAAATTACTAGGAAAGTTCCTTGGAAAAATGCATTCACTGCCTGGAAATGTTTCCTGGATTGGTGTAATTGCCGCTGTTGCATTTGTCCAGTGTTATAAGCTTCCTGTACGTTTGTTAGTGTGATTGTAGAGTAGATTGACAGGAAGACTAGATGAATTAACACTTGTTTTATTTTTCTGAATTACTGTATGGTAGCTTGAATTTATTTAATGTTACTTTTTGTTGGAAGGTAATATCATCTTGGGAGGTATATAACTGTCAGTCAACTGGTATACTCTGTGGTATTATCAAAATCATAAAACAACACTGAAATGCTTATATTTTTTTTACAGTTTTTTAAACATCTTTTAACAGAAAAATCTATCTTCATTTGGCTTTGCCCAATATTGTGTTTTTTACTGTTCTAGACTAATAATGTTTTTTTCTTCTGCATTAGTTTAAAGTAAGTTTTATATGTTGCTTTGAATAAAGACCATTCTGTTAAAACTGCCGATCCCAAAAGTGCGTTCATTGTCAGCAGTAATTGTTTGTATTGCAGAATAGAAGGATACAATTTTTAAATGTATGTATATAAGAAATGTTGACATTTTTGTAATTTATGCATGATAAATTCAAAAAGCGATATTATTATTATTATTATTATTATTATAGATACATTATTTGGTATCACACAATCTAATCACTGTGCTTACATTTTCAGAACAACGGCAGCCACCTATATGCACGCTGGCAGTAGTCGCAGTCATGCAATATTCACTATAAATTTTACTCAGGTAAGTAAAAGTCATAACTGCCAGTATTTGTCCTATCACTGGTGTCATCAACCACAGCCTGTTAGGGCACCTGTCTGCTTGCTTACATTCTGAACATGCATAAATTGTCAAATTTATTGTAATATTCAAAAACATTGATGTTTTTGAAGATTATAGATTAGATTGAAATAAGTTTTAAATTCTATTTAAAAAAATGCCAGCATGCCCTTTACAAGTAAAATGTGGTATTTTGATATTCCATCTTATTACAGCTTTATATTTGGTTTAAGTGACCAAGTAATATTTGGCAATGTTGCTGTCAATTTTGGTCAAATATGGTGTGAGACAGATCTTTCCTTTTCTAACTGGGAGAAATGACAACTAATCAGCATTTGTGCACCAAATTTAGATTCTCATATACTGTTGGCATTTTAGACATGACTGGCTGCCTCCATTATGACACTTGTATTTGTGTTATCCCATTACCCAGATGATCTTTCAAGGCCACAGGCTTACCATCTCTGGTGTTGTGTAACATTAGCTCTCCTTGCTAGTTCAGCCAAGAGATGGTTGTTTTCTGATCATGTTTGCATTTTCTCTTATGAATAACCAAAGATCGAATGGCTATGAATAAAGAAAATATTTAGGAACCCTCAGCAAATATGTGCTTAGGTACTGCTAAATGATTGAATGTGGATATTTCAACATGACCAATAGTCAGTGTATGGAAATAGCTCAGAGAAAACAAATATTACATTAATTTCCCATCTCAAACTGTCCTGCTCTGGCTCACTTGTTATTTTGACCTCAAGTACCAAACTTCTGTAATTCTTAATTCAGTGTTTTGTTGGGTGGTTGATGGGTGGTTGATGTACATGTATGCTAGGATCCATGTATGCTAGATGTATGTGAGGGGTATATGTATGGGTGCATATTATATACATTTTTAAATTGTATCTTTGTCATTGGATTTGCGAAATGACATGGAACAAGATGTTTGCGAGCGTTTACAATCAATTCCCAACAAAATATTAAATAGACAATTGCTGCCTTTTTGTTTACATATATGGTGAGAAAAAAGGTGCACTGTGTTCATTCAAATGTACACATTTATAACATTGTTTTACTTGTTTCTTTCTAAATGTTTATTTTGGTATGATATAAATGTGGCAGATCATGCAAATGGTGAATATTTTAAAGTCTCATTGGTAAACTTCCCATGATATAAACTGATGTATCATTTGTTTCTCAGTGCGCTGAATGCAGATTGCAGATTGCAGCATTCTGTCAAAATTTTAGACATAGCTGAATAAGAATGAGAATCAGATACCATCTGTCTACTTGAAAGTTTTGAAGTTTTGATTCAAATATGAAATAATGTAGAAAAATCAGTGAAATTCTAGAACACATTTTGTCTGTACCCCTTAATAGACAAAAAAACAAACTTGGGTGAGGGGTTGTATTTCCAAAATGTTTCTAATAAAATTCAGACTTTTATAACCCCCTGTTGGTTACACATACAAAAAAGAATGCTTAACACAACACCAAAAAGTAAGATGTTATCCGATCTTGTTTAAATTTTCCTTATGGGGTTTTGTGCCGTTGAACTCTTTTTATGTGCAAGGAATCCGTTAAGTATTGTGAAGTGTGGACCGTGTATTTTTCTTCTGTGTACCTTGTAGCTCAAGGGTGCTATTGAGTTCCAGAATGTTTTTATGTCATCTCTTTCAATTGTTTAGCAAAAGGGGTTACAGCTACCTTATACCCCGTTCACACTACAGTTCCAAAATGCGCATTTCTATAATTCGGATTTTTTCGTGAGGAATCCGATTCGGTATTGCGTTCACACTCGCTAAGCGAATCCGAATCCCACGTTGAAAATTTCAGGTTTAACTTCCTGTTTTGAACACTCGCGCATGCGCCGCACTGGAAAACTCAAAATACCAACAAAAAAGTGTGACGGCAAATGTATCTCAAAAAGACATTCCAGCATTCTTGGGAAGCATGAGATGGCAAAATAAGTTTGTTTCCTCATGTTGTAGTGAGTGGTGATCTCCAAATACGTTTGGTGCAATCACTAAAGTAATAAAAAAGCGTTCATAGATACCAGCACTTATCTGCACACATGCGCAGTAAGATCTGTACAGGTGTCGATTCCGGTAAGTTATCCGGATCACGCTTAGAAATCCACCTCGCTTGCAGGATTTTGAAAATGCACATTACAAAAATCCTCTTGCGTTCACACTACTGCATTTATTCGAATTGTGACCTAATTCGCAATTTATCCGGATAACTGAGCGTAGTGTGAACGGGGTATTAAATAAGCAGATAATGTTCACCTTAGCCACAAGTCTTGGCAGAGAACTTCTGATCACTTGAAAACAATACTGTTAGTTTAAGTTGGAAACACCAGTGAAATGAAAAAGGTTCATGCCCGTTTTGACACTTTCTTTTATATCAAAGTTTTGTTTTTATAATTTACTCAAGAATGTTATGAAAGGCAACCTTGTGACATGTATTCTCTACTGCTGGGTATGAAATCTGATCCTTTACCTCCCCTTGCAAAGTTTTGTTGTGCGGCAAATTAATTAGGGCATGCTTAATTAAAGAGCAAATATTGGGTTTTGATATTCAAAGTCACCTACTAAAATGAAATCACAGAGGAGTGCCTCTGGTGGCTGTGTTGCTTTTGTGGCTCTGTTGATCCACATTTGGTTTTCCGAGACAATTGAGTCGAAAAAGCATGCTTCCCACGAGTCACTGGGGTCTTCCACAATATTGGACGTCTCTAGTGCCACCGAGTGCGTCATGGTTAGTAAATATCTACGCAACTCTGTTCAGCTCAGTGGTTTTACTCTCAGCCCTGTGACACATGGGTCAAATATGAGTGTGACATGCTTCAATAAAACATTTCTAAAGAACAAATAAATCCCAGGTATTGATTTATGATTGAAATATGTATTGCAGTTGTTTTCGGGGTCTTTCCAGTAAATTGACAAAGTTATTGGTTGATGTTCCAGAAAGTTCAAGACCACCCAAGGCCACAAAACTTTCAACCCCATATAACTCTTATAGTGCACTTCAGCAGCAGGCCCTTTTCTAGCTAAGTTTCAGAGTTGCTGCTTCTGCTTTTGAAATATTTCTTTGAAACCAAAAGAAATAATATATTATAATAGTGATGATGATAACAAACACTTTCTGTGCCCTAGGTTTTTGAATTTTTTTCAGTTTTAGAGGTATAATGCTGGTATCAGAAATTCTCTGAATACCAAGTTGATGAAAAAATACAATTGCTTCTGTAGAAAATTCTTTCTCTTTGGTTTTAGGCATATATGTATGATAAATCCAAGGCTGCACAATACATTGTCACAAAACTGTGGCAGGATAGTATATTTTATATTATGTACATGTCTGACACTAGTAAATCATATTAATAACTTCATGATTGCTAGACATCAGCAGGTAGTCCACTTTATTAATGTGTAATTGCGTAGCTACTGTACATGTACTGTTGAGTTGATGAATTGTGTGACTCTTGGCGCCATCTTTAGGCCAAAATTGAAAGGAGAGAATAATACAGGATGAATGGAAAAGGATATTTTGGTCTCATTTTAAATTTTTTGTTATATTTTATCGAGGTTATGATACTGTGATAGATAATTTTTTAGCAACTGAAATAGCTTTACTTGCACCATATTTTTTATAGGTTTTGGCTCAGATGTTAAATAATGTTTACATTGATTTCTTTATGTGAACTGTATTTGAACTAAATGGGTGTGAATCCAGTGCATTATCTTGTCCAAGCAGTCTGTGGTTGATTCACTGATCGAAATTTAAGTGCCCAGTTTACATTAAGCTTTAATTTTGCTCACCGACTTTCCAGGCCAAATTAGATGCGGATCTCCCAAGTGAGAAAGTCAGCAAAATCCATTTAGTAGATCTGGCTGGCAGGTAAGTGACAGAAGGCACATTCACATCAGATTTATCTTATAGCTGTTAATGGTTTTTAAGTATGGCTAGCAGACAAACACATTGCTGAATTATTAATGTACCCAGTATCATATGCTGTGTGTTTGTATATCGTCAACACACAATGGTACTAATTTTTTTTTTTTTGGAGGGGGGGGGGGGATTGGGAGGGGGCAAAACCACTAGTTAATCAAAGTTACATGTCTAGTAGCCATATGAGCCAAGGACAGGTCTAAATTGAACTTGATGTGAACAGAATTTAAGTAAGTAGGTTTTTTATATTAGATTCCCCACAACATGTATCTTTCTCAATTTGCGGTTTACCATACATATTTTAGTGGTTTTTACTACTTGGTGGCTTTATGGAGTATTTTTCAAGCACAGACAGTAGTCATGTAACACTTGTTTTTATTTGTTTTTGTTCTTGGTTTGTTTATTTGTCAATTTTTTAGAAAATCAGAGGACATTATGAAAGTATAGTTTTTATAGTTAATGATATAATTTCTGTCAAAAGAAAAAACTGATTATTGAAACTTTTGTTTATGCAAAAAAAAAAAATAATAATACCTTTTTTTTTGCAATTTTTATGCCTTATCAGTATTGCATCACTATAATAGTTACTGAGCTACTAAACTTTTAATGGTATCTTCTAATACCTTGATAATGCTATATATTACTAATTAGTACCTTAATTTGATTCCCCTATTGTTAATACAGTGAGAGGGCAGATCCTAGTGCAAGTAGCAAAGAAGATGGTACAACTCGACTCAAAGAAGGTGCTAACATCAACAAATCCTTAGTTACATTAGGCAATGTGATCAAAGCTTTAGGTAAGTAGGGTGAAGGTCATTAATATACTAGGAGAACCGGGGGGGGGGGGGGGGTAGTAAAGAGTCTACTTAATTATGAATTATAGCACTGAGCTTTTGTTACACTCATTCATGTAGAGAATTATTATTTTATTACTATTATTGTCGATATTACAATTGTTGGTGGAATCGGATGAAAGTTGCTCCTTTTCTTTAAAATGGTCATTACTTTGTTGCTCTGTGACAATAAAGTGTAAAGCATTGTGATGTCTTTATATTATTTTGAAGAATATGAATTTGACAGCAACAGTACATCCTGAAACAGCCATCTTGATATTATAATTTGCCAGATCTCTCATTGGTAACAGCACGAGTAGATTGTTCTGAAAGATAGATAAGAAAACATGGCTGTAGATAAGAAAACATGGCTGTCAGTTGTACAATTAAATTTTCAGCTGAAAAATCTGTGCGTTCTTGGGGCACTGAAAGCCTGGGCTCCAGCCTCAGTTTTGACAGTGAACACAGTAAGGATGCGTTAAACAGCTCAGGATCTCCGAACAGGAGAAACGTCAAACCTTTTATCCCATACAGAGACTCCGTCCTCACATGGCTGCTCAAAGAAAGCTTAGGGGGAAACTCCAAGACTATCATGATTGCAAGTAAGTTATTTATATTATGGTTAATACAAAATATTCTTGGTATTTTGATGATGTCATCTTGATTTTGTGAAGAATGATGCATTGTGCTGTTGTAAATGTTGTCTCAACTAATGCAATGACTTTACCCAAGTCTGATCTAAACTTTGTTTGTAGAAGATGAAAGTTGGTCTTCACTTTGAGGCAGATAGTGTACTAGTGTACTATATTGCAGGATAAAAACAGTTGTAGTCCACTAAAATAAAGACATTTGCCCATTCTCTAAAACGTTTTAAAAAGTTAAAATGCTCTAAAATGTTGCAATAGCTAAGTTTAAAATATCGATGCTATTTTAAATAGCTAGATACATATATACGCTTACAATTAAAGCCAGCTTTAGTAAGACAGTCTTTTAAAAATTTATGCTGAACTTTAGGTTATTGATTTTTTCCATTTTAGCCATCACTCCAGCAGACACATACTACAATGAAACCCTCAGCACATTACGCTATGCACAGAGAGCCAAAAGCATAATCAACAAACCCACAGTCAATGAAGTAAGTGAGGGTTGGACTGTCTGAGATTTATCATGGTTTATATTGTGATAAACCAGAATCCTTTTTAATTATAAACCTAGATTTTACATAAAAAGAGAAGTTATTATAAAATCTCTTGAAATGGTATTAAAATTTGAAAAACTGTTCTTAAGTTGGATTGTATTATGTTTCAGGAATTGCTCTGTCATGGTATTGATATACTTGATTTTTTCCCCTGTGAACATGTTTATTTTTTTGTGCACTTTCAGGATAACAATGTCCGGCTAATACGTGAATTGAGGAATGAAATTGAGAGGCTCAAGCAATTGCTGTGTCATGCACACATGGTAGGTACTGCTCTAGATAAAAAATACCAGTTGTCAGAATTATCTCGGTTATTTTTCATTGAAGATTTGAACTCTATTTCATGTGATGGTTTGGTAATGAAATGAAACTGTCAATTTTTAAAGATGTGTCCGTATTAAACTACTTTAGTTTTTTTCATCTTGCTTGCATCTTTGATTTAATTTTATAATTTTTGTGAAGTCTACTGCATAATTTAGAAATAATTTCATTTTTCTGCATCTTTGCTTCTCTGCATGTTTTAATGGGTTTCAGTGAAATTTGCTGCTAAAAGATCCTCATCTCTCGATTCCTGCTTCTGCATAACTTGTCAACCAAAAGTTGGACATGCCCACTTGTAGTCAGTTTTTCAACCAACCTGACAGCTTCAGATTAGAATTTTTCATGAATAGAGAATATGAAGAGGTTGATAGTTGGTTGAGCTTTGTGCTTTTTCTTGATGGACGTGCTTTCTTGATTTCAGTCAAAAATCCCAGTTAGCGAATCCCACCCAAGGCATCGCCTGGCTCGTCACCTGTCATGGCATGGTAAAACTCCTGTCAATCAGGTAGAGGACACGCCCCCTCGATATTCCCACACCTTTATAACTGATTCACTGTTATTTCAGGGCTTACAGGCACCACTTAGAAAGCTTATTAACCTTTTTTATATTTATCGGCTGGAGTAGCTTTGATAGCAGAAGTTAAATGGTTGTTTGTTTCAAAGCTTTTCTAATATCACTCCGCTGTGCAGTATCAGTGTAGTTGCCACCTATATAATTTTAACTCTTAGTTTCAGGAATCCTGCTTTTTGAATCCCAGATAACTTTTGCTTTAAGGACACTGTTTCTTTTGCTTTGCTTTAGTATGTGTCTGCTTTTCTTGGCATTTTATTCAGATTAAGTATGCTTGATGTTTAAATCTTCCTTATGTATAAACAGATTTTTTTAGGCGTGATAGTGAATGTGAGAGGTAACTGTTTTGTGTTGTTGTAATGTATTATCTAATGAGCCTGATGTTTATATATCACCCATGTTATGTGCTATGCTGGTACATTGTTATTATTATTATCATAATAATGGCAAAATTTGTCAATTCTACAATTACATAACTCACAGTTGATATATATTTGCAGTATCTGTGATTTTTTTGTGGAGTTGATTAATGAAGTACTTCAAATGAAAGGAAATCATATAAAGAAGACACATTCCGTGCATGATCTTTGTATAAGAGCAGGAAATTAGATTTGAAATATTAATATTCAGAATTGCTTATTTCACCCTAGATTTTTGTAAAGTTTTTTCTTTTTTTTTTTTTTTTTTTTTTGTTATAGTCAATAATTGTGACCTTTGTTTAATAACTTACTGCATTTTAACTGAATAACCGAGACACATGTTGCCTGATATTTGTTTGATCCACTGTAATGTGAGAATTCTAATTCTAAGGCATTTTGTAAGGTTATGTCCATTATTTTTGCAGGCTGGCTCCATGATGCTGAATGAGATTGACAGTGGGGGCACTATCGCAGAAAAATTGCTAGAAAATGAAGAAAAGGTAATTAAAAAAATTAGTGTGCATATAACGCATGGATAACATTTCTTCATATATTCAGAAATTATGTCTGTGAAAGGAAAAAAACTAGCATTGATTTCAAGATTGATTAGTCATATAATTCAATATTTTCCTTTTAGTTTCTCAGCTGATAATTTTCTGTAATCTATTTTTACACCTACTCCTCATTTATAAGTATTGATTTTGAGAAAAAAAGTCTGAAAAGGTAAGTTGTGGAGAAGTATCTAGAAGTGCAGGATTAGCTTTGATTATTTCATTTCTGCCCCTAGGCTCAGAAGCTTACACAGAACTGGATAGACAAGTGGAATGAAGCTCACAGTATCATGGCTGTAAGTGTGGGAAGTTTTTTTAATGAAGATTTTTAGAGATTCAGTTGAGATTATATATGCAGCATTTTTGTAGTCATTCATATATGGCGGATATTGAGAAATATATATATATTTCTGAAAAAGGTATCATTCTGTAATTTTTTTTTTTCAAAGTTTGGTTTACACACTAATTCTTAGAGCTGATGAGACTGCTGCACTCTGATTACCCTCAGTCTGTTACAAATATGAAGATAATAAACGACTTAAATATTCTCTCTCTGTTTTAGGAATCCAATATCTGTATTTCAAGACCAGTGCGTAGAACCAAGTCTATGGGTGTGATAGTCGACTCTCAGCTACCTCATCTTATTGGTATGGATGACGATATACTCAGTACAGGGATTATTATGTACCACCTTAAGGTAAATAAAGGACAGGTATAATGGGTATAGAAAACAATATACTCTGTATGGGGATTTTCTACAATACATTTAAGATAAAGAACAGTATTCATATGGATTAAGATTACGTCAGTGCAAGAATTATCATGAACCACCATAACCATAAAGAAATGGTATTGGTTTTGGTGACGATATGTTGAGTGCAAGGGTCATTATGTATACCCTTAAAGTAAAGGGTTTGTTACTAATAATTAGAAATTCACAATTGGTCAAGAAGGTCTGATTAAATGTATGTTATTTATGTTGCTATAACAAGGCAGGTATTCATCCACGTTTTAAAGTATTAGTTTTTTTGGCTCGTAAATTTGATATGGAAAGTATCTTGAAAATGTACAGTCGAAATTAACTGTATCCAACATTTCATTGAATATTTCAGGAAGGAAAAACTTCCATAGGGCGAGAGGATTCTACCAGGGACCAAGATATTGGTATGTTGTCTCTCCAGTGAAATTTTATTTCTAACTAAAAACACTGAAGTATTTCTGTCAAAATAATTTTGTCATATCTATTGGTAAGATATTTCACCATTTTTATGCACATTTTCCATTGATTGAAATGCTTGGGACAAAGGTTTATTTATTAACGTCTCGCTAGAAAATATTTCAATGTGTCAGCTGTCTGTAAAGCACAATGCTGCACATCTAATGAACACGATTTAGAATTTTCCCTTGTTGTTTCTACACAGTGTTATCAGGTCCAGACATCCTGTCGGAGCACTGTATTATCAAGAACAGGGGCGGGGCAGTGTACATGTATCCCTTTGATGGTGCTATGTGTCAGGTGAATGGACAGCAGATTTATGAACCAATCAAGCTTACTCAGGGTAAGAGAAAGAAAAAACTGGTGGGACATGTAAAATGTGGAATAAGGAACAGAAAGATTCACTTTAACATGTTATTTTCTGAGATCTTTGGTCATTTTCTACAACTTTGATGTATCCATGTAACTGTTGACCTACAGATTCTGAAGTATTGTACCAATATTTATTATTCTGCCAATTTTTATTAATTTCACAAATTCAGTTCCGACAGTTTCTTGGTTTCTTTGCACTTATCAATATTACATACACGTGTGTAGCAGTTAATTAACCTTGATTACAGTTTGTGTGTTTTATTTTTTGTGACCTCTACAAGTTCTCTGTTCTGTCTCTCTCAGGTGATGTGGTTTTGCTGGGAAGAACAAACATGTTCAGGTTCAACAATCCAATTGAAGCAGCAAAACTACGGGAACACAGGAAGGTAATGGTTTTCCTACATATGTTAATATATGTGTTTTCGAAAACTCCAGAAAAATTAATCATGATAACTTAAAGGTAATTTCATTAGGAGGTAAACCATTACAGTGGACATTCCTTGCTTTTTTATTATTTTGTAGAAAAAAGTAGTGACAGTTAAAGGGCATCTTTAAGATTGTCATCATTCCATAAATGTTAACACTGTATTTAGAATATCATACAATAATGTCTTGTAAACAAAATGAAGACTAAACTTAATCAAATTGGTGTACAGTATGTACATGTATGGTTCATTGTTAGTAATCCAGATTTAACACAAGTATTTAAAATTCACGATTTGTGTTAAAGATAAATTTCTATTGTATTATAAATTGTTCATTCCAGTCTGGTGGAGGTTCGTTACCACTGAATGGCAGCCTCTCCCGAGCTAGCAGCGTCAGCTCCATTTTCACGTACCGCTCAGACATAGATGGAGAGTCCCCTTCACCAACCTCTATGTCACCAATGATGCTGAACTCAAGGTAATTACATATCATTACAGGTATCACTGGCAAAAAAATGTGCGATTTTGCTGGGGAGGGGAAAGAGAATGAAAGGCATGTTTTCTTGGACATTTTCCTTTGCTGTACAATATATTGGCTGTGCATGATTTGGTGCAGTGTACAGTTAATGGATACAGTGTCTGTCTGTTTCATTGCAGCTGGCTCTTTGTATGTATAGTTGAGAAGTGGGTTACTTTGCAAGCACCTGCCATATTAAGGTAAAGGTGGAATGGTGCACTTAGGGTTATTATTGCAAATGCCACATAAATGACTCAAACAGCAATATCATAGTGCGAACGTAAATTCAGTTTTCAGATGAAAGCTGCCCAAATTGTTTGCACTAATTTTATGTTTGTGCAATGATGTAATGTTTTGAGTCATTAATTTTGTGTTCATGATCACAGACCCGAGACTCGAGATCGCAAACAACAATTATCATTTATGAGGCCTGAAAACAGTTTGACATCTATGATATATTTTGTATGAAAATATATCAATTATTCCTACTACTCAGGTTAAAGAATCTTGTACCCAACATTTAACTCACTTCTCAACTAATTAAGTATTTTTTGCACATGCTACGTATTTTTATCAAGATATGTGTATGTATTTCATTGAACAGGGAAATGTCTGTATGTAGCATGTGAAATATTTTTATGTCCTTGTTGTTGGGAGGTGGTACATTACACAAGAGGCATGGATTTCTACAAGCCCATTCTTATGTATTCTTCTCACTGCCTAGAGGATCAAAAATATTCATGATTGTTTTTTGATCCACTGTGCCAGGTATTCACTTAAAAGCTGTAATTTTATTTCAGTATGACTTTCCAAATTTCAGATCACAGATGTGTCATTTCAGAGAGAAAGCACTGAAACAAAATTCTTTCTTCTAATTTGGATTTTAAAATAGAACTAAGAGTGCATTCCCATAGATTTTTAGATCGATCAATCCCCGTGGGGAGTCTCACTAGATTGTTTTCAGCCTGACCGGCTTAAATGTCTGTCCCGCCTACTAAAAGCTGTAAGGGGGTAATTAACTTTTGTGCGTGCTCGACTCTCGGAACCTGATAGCAATTGAGCGTGAACCCCCAAGGAGTTAGGTCGATCCAGATAGATCGATCTAAATCTATGGGAACCCAGTCTAATTCTTAAGTTAGAGACTATATAACATAAGTCAAACACAACATTCCTCCTCACCACCGATGGACCTTGGTCACATGAATGGCGATTATCCATTGGAATAATTCAAATCTATTATATCATCCAATCTAGAGACCATAGTAATTTTGGATTTGGTACCAATTATTTCAGATATAGCCCCTTCCAGTGGCAGGCCAGTCTTGGCAATTTAAGTTTCTGGGATTCACGGAGTGAACTTCTGTAGGTTTTAGGTTGCATTGAGAATGCATGGTGTGACCTGTATAAAATATGACAGAATAATGATTGTTTTATGTCATTTTGCTGTGTGCATGGTTTTACATAATGAAAAACAATGATTTTCACATAACCTCTCAGTGTAGGAAATAACATGATTACAAGTCTTATGTATAGGATTATTTTTTGGGGAAAATGTATGTGACCATATCCATAATCATGAAAATAAACAGCAGAAGAAAGAACTGGTATTTTTGTATAAGATATGTTACATATATATTAATTTATCCAGTGTATGGTGCACTGTTCAGGGTTGTCAACACTGCAAAAATATAAATTACTTTCCAGTCATGTTATTTATAATAGAATATCACTTGTGGAACAGTGGAAAGCAATACTCAAAGCACGAGATATTAAAGTAAACTATGATAAAATTTGCTAGATTGACAACCCTAAGTGTCTTACACTTTATAAGCATTTAGACTGATGTGTTCCTGGTTTATTGTGTGCTATGCATGCTCTTTAGGACTGTTGTGACAAGGAATATTTGAGACTGGAAATCGAATAAAACCTGGCTTGTGTTCAAATTCAGGTCCCATTTTCAGTCTGAAGTAGTTCTTGTGTGAATAAATGTTGAATGTTCTGCACCAGTCATTTTGAAAATAAAAGACACATAGTTCTATGTTCATGTGAAAAGCACAATTTCTGTCTTTCTCTCTTCAAACCAAAGCTCCCAGTCTTGGACCGAGTTGTGGTGAGTAGGAGATCGTAACCATTCCTTGCATGATCCAAGGCTTTATTATGCATTTTACAGCTTCATTTTGAAGTCTTTCTCCTATTTCTGAGAATGTTTTATGTTTGTTTGTTTCCTGCATATTTACAGCATCATCAATATATTTTTATTAATAATGATTTATTCTTTGCCTTTATATTGCATGTTCTTTTGGGCTTGATTTATATATATATGTATTTGTTGGATTGGATCATGTGCTTTTTTTGTGACAATTATTATGTTTTAACATTAAAATGGTACATGCATGGGGTCATCTATATGTTTTAAAATAATTTTTAACTAGGGCAATAAATGGTTGTTTTCATGTTTAACTTTATTATGTTTATTAAAGAACTTGTTACAATGTTAATTAACATTTAATATAATAACTTGGATGGTATTAACAGTTTAACATTATTACTACTATATACGCATAATAAATATTAAAGTGCACATTTGCAGCAAAGCACATATTATAAAGATTTAATAAATTTAATCTGAAGGTTTTTAAAAATGTTATATTTTTTTAATCATAAAGTCTTTTTTGAAAAATATTTATTTTGTCTTGGAAAATAAGCTCACAATAAATTTGAGTCTTGCTTGCTTGCTTCCTCCCCCTACCATTCTTTACCTGGCCTGCAGACACTATTTCCTCCCTTGTCTTCAATACAATAATAATAGAAATACATGTGTCATTAATGCTGACACCTAGATCAAAATATCCCTGCACTATTTGATACTCCATTTGTAATTTGACCCCTTTCCTTCGTTTGACGGTCTTCACTGTTTCAATGGTTACCCAGGTTCTGCGTATTGTTTAAAAGCTTGTATATCAAAATGCACTCAAGCTTGCTCTTAGATCACATTGCTATAGCAACAACAGAACAAACATGATTTGAAAGATCAAGAATTGTATACCTATTCAGTGGAATCTTTCAGTTATATAATATATCCTTACTCCACTCAAACAGAGATGGAATGAAGCTGACACATGCTTCTTCTTTTGAGCTTCTACAGAATATTGCAGTTTTCTATTTTGCTTCTCGCTGGCCAACAACATGACATATCATCATCACTCATTTTGGAAAAGGAAAACCTTAAAAATCAACCTTATCTTTTCTTTTTTTTTATTTATTTTCTTTCTTTTGATTTATTTTATTTCTCAAAAAAGACCTATAATTGAAGCATACACATACCTTCCCTTTAAGGTTTTGAAAAAAAAAAATAGATTGTGTTATTTAAAGGATATGAATATAGCTAGCAGATGCATTTACAACTTCAGTGAATGTCCATTTCATGTGGGCATATCTTATCAAACTACTTGTGCCATAAGATCTACAGTATTTGCATTTCAAGGTAGATCCATTTTTTCCATCAACTCACTTAGAGATTATTGGCTTTTCATTTCAGTTTGGAAATGGAGCAACGGTATAAAAATGAAAGTGAAAGACTGGAACAAGCGAGGTATGTATGCAGTATTTACAGCATCTCTGTATAATCAAACATAGTTGACCTATTTCAGTTATTGTCTATTAAAGCAGTTAAATATATTAATAATAATATTTTTGAATTTAATATCATGCGGCATAAGATCAGACTGTCTCAAGGCTGGTATCCTAAGCTGCATTTCCAGTTTTGATGGCTTAACTTATTTCCTCACTATGGTAGTAGACACAATGGTGAAGATTTCTGACCACAGACAGTGGTTGTAACTGTTGTCTTTCCTGCTGCAATTGTAATTGAGCTAAGTTACAAGTCCCAATAACTGTGGTTGATCAGAAATTGTAATCACAAGATCTTAACAACAGTTGTGCAGTCACGAGTTGATAGTTAATGCAACCTTGAACTGACTAGATTGAATGATTCTGGATAAAAAAGGGACAGGCAAGTGTAAGGCAAAGTGAAGTTGAATGTGTACAGGTACTGTGATATGCCTATCTTGTATTAGAATGAGGTAATCTGAGTGTTATTTTCACCTGTCTGATTGTTTACCTTTCCCAACCCAGTTGGTATTATCAGTTTTTTTTTTATAGTGAGTCATTAAGTGTGTAGACAGTTATCGGATTAGATAACGTGGAGACTAGTGTATAGTTAAAGACAACGTAATGAGAAAGTATCTCGGGTTTTAAGATTGTACTGTGATATATTAGCGTTGTAAGATTAGTGAGCTATGTTGGTAATCATGTTTAAAGCATCCCCCCTAGATGTAAGATTACTTTTTAAATCCATCCTCACACATTAGGGAGATCACTTGAACGTGCTTACTATAGTAGTGAAACATTAAAGACATTAGGAAAGGTGATAAGTACAGGAATGGATGTTAATGCACTAATTTTCAGGTAAGTGTTTTTGATTCCTTTTTAAATTTTTGGTCAGATTTTGACATACTTTCTGAGCTGTGAATGGGGAATTTAAAACTGATTGCAGAAAAGGATTGGACGGTATGCTTTTCAATCTCCAGGGGGGAACGTTATGTAAAAGTCAGGGTGGTTGATTTCAAAGCAGGCTGCATTTAAATTCCATTTAAACTTGTTCAGAATTTTTGCATTGTATACATAGTATATATAAGGACAATGAATATAACACTTTAGACCCGAGTTCTAGCTCCTGCTTTCATTGAATGAGGAAGGCAATTTGTGACTTTGCATCCTGTCATATTTTACCATGACAACTCTGCACACTTTCAGTGATTTATGACCCTATAGAAATGAAAACCATTAGCCAACAATCTTCAGTATATTTATAATCAATAGGAGATATTGTCCCTTGTTGTAAAAGCTTTGTTTGTAGCAATTTAATGCTAAAAGTAGTATTGTCTTCAGGAAGGTCTCTTGGGTATCAAACATGGTCACCCATGCTGAAAGAATCCAGGAAGAACTAAACCGATTATCATTGTTTGATTTATTGATCTGATCAATAGTCCTTTGATAGGGATACCCTTTTTATGCAGCATCACTCACCAGTATAAAGTACAATCTCCAACGTTAACTTCAAGCAATATTTTATTACCAGCTTGCGTTGGTTGTGATGGAAATCCTGATTACAAAAGAAGATCATAAATGGCCAGGCAGTATGGCCTTTCCCAGTCACCTGGCTGGCCGTAATTGCGGCTTGAATATCCAGCTCAAGCTGATTGTACCAATAAAAGGTGCTGCTTGAAGTTAACGCTGGAGATTATACTTTATACCTATCTATGGCTAGTGAGTGATGCTGCATAGATTTGTTACCTGAGAGAATAGAATGTCATTGGATTTCACCATAGTATGAATATACGTGATCGCTCTAGTGAGAGCTATTAGGAAGACCCAGGTTTTGAAAAACTGCAACTGGACAACCTGTCAATAGCGAAGAACATTTTTTATTCACCTCAGGAAGGATTTTATCTTGTGACTGATGAACCTGCGTCAGTGTTTGTTGCCCATGGTTACAGCAGAGCTTTATTGCACCAAGACTAATTTTAGACCACAGCCTCTCTGCAATCTGTTAATTTTGTGGAACTTTTCATATTTTTTAGCTTAAAGGAAAAAAAGATATTATAGCTCTACTTAAACATTAATATTGCAATGGGGAGGATTGTTGCTAAGGGTAACAGCAATTGCAGCTAGATTAATTTTAAAATACTGCAGTTGCTCAACAACTTGTGGATATTTGAAGAACCTTCATATTATTAAGCTAAAAAAAATACAAGTTTGATTTCTGTTGTTTTGTAAAGCAGCTTAATATACAGTGTATCCAAAAGCTTTGATCTCAACATTTTGTCAACATTAAAAAAACTCTGGTTTCTTTCACATTATGAAATTTTGGTGTATATAGAAGTAGCTCTTTTTTGTCATATATATTGTCTTGTATGTGATGGCTTTTGATTTTGCAATAACTAATAAGCTTTTATAAGTGCTTTAATCATTGCCATATTGCTAATGCACCTTTCCATGCAGTATTTATCACCTGCATATTGGAACTTTAAAGCAAGGTTACCAAATAAAGAACAGGCAGAGTTTGTCTATAGTTGACAAATTCTGCAAGGCAAGAGATGTAGAAGATCATAATGAATTAGATGGAGTTAAAAACAAACTTCCACTTCCAATATAAGCACAGTAAACATTAAACCAATGGCTGTTTGCCAAGGAGACCATAATTCAAATAAGGAGGATTATAACCTTATAGTGGACTGTAAACAGAGGGAGAATGAAGATCGTTATGTCTGTTGACGTTGAGTGTAAATTATAACACAGATACTGTAGACTTCACTGCTCAAACCTATTCTGTTGGAAAACTTAACATCATATTAGACAGAGTCTGGGGCATAAATGAAATATCAGTCAGGATGAACATGTTGACATGTGGACTTTGCAGGGCCAGGAAGAGTAAAAAGATAAAAAGGTACACATCTTGTATTCCCTTTGTTTATAAGTTTCCTCAAGCTCAGAGGATGAAAAATCACTTTTGCAGCAACAAAGTATGTGGTCCCTCAACATGTCATTAGTCTGTGGAGAGGCAGTGGTTGCATATTGATGGCAGTGTGGTAAATTTCCTGACTGGTTGTGAAAGGAGATTCTCTCTTTGATTTCTACTGAACAGATGGAGCCTTTGAATCAATCTTATCAACAATTAACTGATTAACTATAAATTAGATTATTTGCACTTATATGAGTCAACTGTTTCCATAAATGACATTTGATTTTTTATTCTTATTTTATATAATATGTGTATTATACATATGGGTGGTGTTTCTTAAAGATAGGTTCTGTTTTTGTTTGCTCAGTCAGTTTACATTGTGAAGACATAGTGTATCCTTGACGGGAAATAAATTGCTCTCAATATTACAAGGAGTAGAGACAATGGAAATAACATTCTAGAATACCATACATGTACCAGCTTTTTTGGACCCTTTTGTTCCTAGAGATGCAATTATGTTAAGTTAATAGCAAACACAGTATAACACTTTGCTTTCAGGTCTCTACTTCTGCTTATAATAAGAAACACCCACATACAAAGAGAAACTGTGTCACTAACAGAGCTGATAAGATAGGGTAATAGCAAATAGTGAAAAATTTTATCTTCCCTATGTAAAAGTAGCATTATTACAGTTATATATCAGAAAGCTAGCAAAGACCAAAAGAAGCAATTTAGGGTATTTTCAGTGAATTAGGATGCATTCAGAGAGAGAATAAAAAGTCTGGCACTGGAAATTATGTTCCAATTTTGGTAGATTATATGCAGTACATGTGAAAAGAAGAGCAATGTGACAATAACACTCAATTACTTTAAATTTGGGGCATTGTATATCCTTATAATTGTATATAAAAAAAACATGGAGACATGATGCTGTGATGTTCAAAATGATAAAATCCTGCTTTTTTATCAGCAGTTAATAGCACTTAGTCTAGTATAATCTTTTTGGTGTGATAAGTACATCTTATCATTTTATTTACATTTCAAAATGTAGGGTGGTCTGATTTTTTTTTTTTTTTTTTTTTTTTTTTTTTTTTTTTTTTTNATATATCAGAAAGCTAGCAAAGACCAAAAGAAGCAATTAAGGTTAATTTCAGTGAATCAGGATGCATTCAGAGAGAAAATAAAATGTCTGGCACTTGAAATTATGTTGCAATTTTGGTTGATTATATACAATGCATATGAAAAGAAGAGCAATGTTACAATAACACTCAATTACTTTAAATTTGGGGTATTGTATATCCTTATAATTGTATATAAGAAAAACATGGAGATATGATGCTGATGCTCAAAATGATAAAATCCTGCTTTTTTATCAGCAGTCAATAGCACTTGGTCTAGTATAATCTTTTTGGTGTGATAAGTACATCTTATCATTTTATTTACATTTCAAAATGTAGGGTGGTCTGATTTTTTTTTTTTAAACAATTTTTACTTTCAATCATGATTTGTCACCGTAAAAATTATTTGCCTCCAAAGATGTTAAGTTATGAACCCAGCTGTCTTCTATTGCATACAGTTGGATTTATTTTCAAATAATGTCAGGGCTATGTTATTAATTTTTCACAAGAACATAGATACCATGGGGTTGTTTTGACATATTGATGGTTTTATATCATCTTATACTCAACATTGTTTTTGATTTCCTTGAATCACAAAGAATTTAGGCAACAACTAAAGTACACGGTATGTGTTAGATCAGCTAAGGCTGTGTATCTAGCTCTCAAGAGTTTCTGAGATTATGAGAAAAATTTCATTTCTGTTCTATAACACTTTAAGAGAAAATGTGACCAAGTGTTGGACATGTACTTATATATGAAAATGCACTAAATGTTCAGGACTATCACCAATCCATCATGCAAGACAAAGATAACAGGATGGGAAAAATTAAGCTTTTAAAGCGCTAAATGTATGCCTGTTACTATAGAGACTAACTTCCACACTGACGTCACCAAATGACCAGATATTCTGGAGCAAATGCCAGGTTATCAGGAGATGTCATATAGCCGATTTTAGTTCAAAAGTGTTTAGGTCTTTAAGTGTACATGCATTAATTGCATTGTAACAGGATTATGTTATCCATATGTTTACAATTTTAAAAAAATAATAATGTAAGATTAATACTAGGTTTAACATTTTATTTGTACTATGGAAATTTATAGAAAGATTTTTTTTTATCAGGAGTGAACTACAAATCCTTCAAAATGAGTGCAGAAAAGCGGAAGAGGAGCGGTTAGAAAAAGAAGAGGAAATGTACAGGCGTCATGAACACCACAAAGCGGAATTGAATCAGCAGCAGAGGTTAATAAGGCTGAAGACGGAGGAGTTGGAGAGACTGCGACTGAAAGCCCAAGACCAGATTGCAGAAGCCACAAGAAAACTGCAGCAGGAAAGAGATGAACGTAAGTTTATTTCTGACGGATAGTTTTTTTAATGTCAAAAACATGCACCAGTTATCTTTTTTTTTTTTTTTTTTTTTTTTTTTGCACTTGTAGCTTCTGCCAGAGGTAGTTTCTCTCAGGAATTGTTTATATTTAGTACCAATTTTGGAATAAAATATTTTGTTACTATATTCATTTTGAAATTGTCGGCAGTATGTTTGTGTTCCTGCAGTGATTTAATTGATCTCTGTAGGTGGTCTGTATTTTATTTGTTTGTATAATCTAAAGCTGCAAAATTATATCATCCATGATAATTAGTATTTTATCACCTTTTGATGACCGTGAAGCAGATTTTAGTTTGATCTCAGTGCACTAATTTTAATTTTAATTAAAATAGAATTATAACTGATATATCTGACGTGTATCTTTTATTTTAGATCGCAGACTCATGAATGAAGAACTGCAGCATTTAAAGGAGTTACATGACCAGAGGTTGCTACACAGTCAGGAGTTGGCCACTCAGACTGATTCCAGTTGTGGGGAATTTGCCGTCCAGACAGAATCTCAAGCTTCACACATCAGTATCCAGACTGCTTCTGATGAGCCACAAGGTATAGCCCCAGAGCACGGGTTTTCATGATTGGACTTCTTTTTTATTTGGAAATATTCATTATAAATACATGGGATACATAGTAGGATAAAAGTTTTAGTTTTTTTTTTCTATTCAATTGTGTATGGTCCATGAAATTGTTCTAAATCAATCTCTCTCTCTCTCTCTCTCTCTCTCTTCTCTCTCTCTCTCTCTCTCTCTCTCTCTCTCTCTCTCTCTCTCTCTCTCTGTGTGTGTAGAGAGAGAGTTATCCTCTTTAAGTTTCATAATGACAATTATGCTGCACATAAATTGATTGGGTCTTATTTCTCTCCTTTCAGAGCTAAAACCCACTGATATTACACATTTCAAAGAGGACACAGTTGAGGGAAGATTGAAAGACCTTGCTCAGAGAGAACTCATCCTGAGGCATTCTGAGATGGAAATTGAACAGGACATTCATCAGCAAGAAAAACTTTTACAAGAGCAGCTGGAATTGGAGAATCAGCATATCAAATTAGAAAAGCAAAAACTCACAGAAATTGAGGAAAGCTATAAAACTCAGGATGTCAGAGAATTGGAACAGCTTTCTGAACAGTATGTTGATGAGAGAAAACTGCAGAGCAAGAAACATCAGTTGGAGGCGTATCTTGAAAGACACACACAGACTTCATCTGATGGGGATGAAACCCGAGCTGGAGCGTCTGTTACAGTGCAAGTGTTGAATGCAACTCCCAAGATACGAACTAGGCAGTTTATTCACGAATCTATGCAAACAGATAGTTCTCTGTCATTATTGTCTCCCCAAGACTCAAGTTGTGAGACGCTAAGTAATCAGTTTGGGGAATATGTATCAAAGTCCACTAATTCTCTCTCCAGCTCCAAGTCTGGAGGATCATTGCCAAGTTTGCATTTAAGTTCTGACAGCAGTGTCAAGGTGAAGAAACCCAAGTCAAGTGATGGGGAAGAAAAGACTTCTGCTAAGCCATCCAAATCTTGGAAACTGTCTTCAATGGCAGAACAGGTGACAAAAAGGTTATACAAGGCACCTGCACAGGTGAAAAAATTCTTCAAGAAGGAACACAAAAGAAAATTGTCAAAAACGGGTGATACTGATGATGATATTAAAGCCAAAACATTGCCAATTATTCTGTCCAAATCAAAATCCACTTCATTGACTTCTCCAAGAGGGGTTGATGACTCTACATCCCAGCAGATGCCCCCTAGGGGTAGAGCATCTAGCATGGACTCTGGGTTAGCCAGGAGGCCTTCAAAGTCTCGAAGAGGCCTTGGGTATGACTCGGTGGGATCTCACAGACATCCTAGGACTCCAAGCCCAGGGTTGGATAGGATGAGCTCAAGCCTTGCAAGCATTCCAGAAAGACTCTCAGCAGAGGAGTCCAGTGACCAGGAATTGAATTCCTCCATGTTTGACTCTAGTTATGACATGTCCGATAGGTCCAGTCTTTTGAGTGCCTCTGGTCACGGACAGCATCATCATCATCAGGGGATGAGAACGAGGAGCAGTTGTGAACTTCACACTCAGAACAGCTTTGATGGAACATCTGATGGAGAATTCCCTCCAAACAAACAGGATACTCAGCCTTTGTGGAAAATTTATGAATATAGCCTGGTTAAAAAACAGTCAGATTCAGATGCAAAAGCCGACAGTTTTGAAAATTTAGCACCTTGCCATAGTGAGCCAGTCATCAAAAGAAAGAAAATCAGCAGTGATGATTCTGACTCCAAGGAATGTCTGTTTGAGAAAATGGATGAGAGCACTGATAGTGATGGTATAGTGATAGAAGTGCATCCTCATGAGGAATCGTCATCTGATCTTGAAAAACAGTCAGAGTCACCATCAGATCTCAACCAACACAATAGACCATCTGCAAGTGATCTCAGCAAACACATTCCAAAGACATCTTCACCCATTTCTGACCTACAGGATATTCCATTCATAGATGATGACATTGTTCTAGGGCAATTCGATGAACCGCCAACCCAATTAGAAAGTGATAACCACACAGCGGGTACTGAAGTGACAACAGCACCATCTGCAGTGAGCCCTGAGAGGCTAGGTAACATTGAGTTCCATGCTCATCTGGTGAGAGGCCTGCAGGTGGACCATGTTGCCAGAGCCTGGAGTGATGATAATGTGGCTCAGAGGGTAAGTATTGCTTGCATGAAGAATATGGTACTTTGTGGTTGGCAAAGAATAGAATAATAATACCCTAATATTTGCTTTTTAGCAATAATTTGCATAATAATAATTATTGTACACAAATCCTGATTTAATTAACATTTTAGAAGTACATTCCACAGTGCAGGTACAACTCCATTGATTATTTTTATTTAAATTAATTTATGCACTTCACATAAAAGAATCCACTTTTAGCATGTTTTCAGTTTAAAGTTGTTCCCCTTGATACATCCCCCTACAAATTCTTTGAAAGAAGAATATCAATTAAATTTTCTCATCTTGAACAGGTGCCTCTGCCAGTGGGTCACACGTACCAGACTTCAGTGCAGAGAGCCATGGCTGTGGATGCCACCTTCAGAGCCCGCAGTAATGAGGGTCTGGTGGAGTCTTCCCATACTAGGGGGACACAGGGCAGCACTCCAGACCACCAGAGACCGTCTTGTGATAATGTGACAGCAACCAGGAGCTATGAGGGTCTCTCTCCTGTTATACATTCTGCTTGTGATCATTCTTTGGAAGAAATAGGTGAGTTCCTGTTGGACCCTGCAAATAAACTATGTTCATACTTACTGAGTGACCTGATGACTATTTTTTTTAAATTATTATTATTATTATTATTATTATTATTATTATTATTATTATTATTATTATTTTATTTTATTATTTTTTTTTTTTGATGAAAATTAATTCAAACATTATACAGCATTTGGCTGTACCTATATTTGTAGTCGGATAAATAAGTTAATAAATTTGAATAAACCAGCTTAAAAGTTACCATGTTTATAATAGGTAGAACTGATCAATATGTAGCAGGTGGTTGAATTGAAGCTAACACGTCATACATATTATAAATCAATTACAATGTCTTTGATTGAATTTGATCAATATATAATTGAAAAAGGTGTTCATGAAGTAAAGTTAATTTACCCTTTGCAGGTGCAGGACCTGCAGCAAGCTCAGACATTCCTCAAGACAAGTCAAGTTCTGTCAGTAGAGACACTGAGAGAACAGGCAGATCTCAGAGCAGAGAGTCCACAGGGTCAACAGAACACAGGGAGAGGAGTAAAAGTGGTCCAAAAATTGTCAAACCTGTGATGGCCAAAGGTAATCAGTCATGTTAAATTGTACCCCAGCTATCAATACTTACCATGCATGCATATACACATTAGGTAACAGATGGTGTGTTTTTTCGGCAATATGTTACATATACACTTTTAGAAAGCAATTTCATATTACAGTCATAAGCAGAAAAACATTGAAGGTTTTGCATGCTAAGCATGTTTATGTGAAATATAAAAACTTTCTATTCTGTTCAGTTATCTTTCAGATTGATGCAAAAATTTATATTTACAGAAACCGTAAGAGGAAAGGTCAGAGAAGAAAGACCACGACCTTGGCAAGAAACTACTCCCACAAAAAAGACTCTCAAAGATGGAGAGTCTGCTGACCAAGACAGAAGCGCACAGGAAAGTAGCCGATCCAGAGCACGAAAGGAAAGACGGAAACCATGGAGAGAAACAACACCTACACTGGAAAAGGAAGTGAGACAAGAATCAGAGAGATCGTCTGCTAGACAAGAGAGGCATAGACCTTGGCGGGAAAGGACACCTCTTTCTAGAAAAGGTGCTTCTGAAAAGAGTGAGGATTCATCAGCAACCCCAACATCAGCACAAAAGACCCCAAGAGATCTGACGTCTGCAGACAGTGGACCAACTTCTGTCAGCCCTTCTCAGTCAGCTAAAACTGGTTCTAAAAGAGCCGTTACTCGGAAGGAAACTCCAAGTCCAATCAGGAGGTCTGTAATATACAAGAGGGTCAAAAGGCGGAGTAACTCTGATGACATACCTGTGGAGTTTTACTTACCTGGTGGTAGCAGTGGTGGCGGTGAGAATGAAGGTATGTTTGTGTTGTGTCAAATAGTTACAATACCTGGGAAAGTAAATACCATACATTTGTAATGACCTGTTGCAATATAAGACACATTGATGAAAATTTGCAATTTTTTTTCAGATGTTTCAAAAATAGTAGTAGCATTATCTGATAAGTGCATTTAATTTATTATCCTGATAATTCATGTATATAAAACAATTACACCATTTAATATTTTATCATTTTATCAAGCTTTTAAAATGTTTTCTTTCAGGATCTCTCAGAGGCATCGGAGGTGATGCAGATTCCAAAGAGAGGCGTAAATCTGTCGACCGTACCCATGAAATTTTTGCCCGCAGTTTAAGGGGAGGTTCCATAGAGCGAGAATCAGACGAAGAAGGTCAAGTGTGCGAGAGAAATGAACGCCGTTCAAGGACAAACAGCAGGGAAAGGCCTGGTTCTGCAGGGTCTAAGAGTCGAAGGATCATTGTTAAAGGAGATCAGTTGGATGATTACTCTAAAGCTTTCGAAGATGCCCTCTCTGATGCTTTTGGAGATAGTGATGCTGCTAAGAATGAAATAGAACAGTCAGGTAGTGCCTCGGGTGTGGATTCTTATGATATCAAAGAAGAAGATGAATATTCCGGTGACTCCCTTGATGAAGATGAGGATGACCTTGGCAGGAAGTCAGAACCTGGGCAGGAGGAATATGGACTGAATTTACAGCACCTCCAAGTACCACATTCTGGCAGTAATGCATGTGTGTCAGTCGAGTCATTGAATGACCCACAATTTATCTCACAGGATTCTTTAAATCATTCTCCTCGCAGTGGTAAAGAGCAATTTGGTTCACGGGATTCCATAGATGAAAATCCATCTCAGGGTTGTCTTCCATCATCTTCAGTCCCAGCAGAGCAACAGTATCTATCCCAAGATTCGCTTACAGGAGAGACACCAGAGGGCTGCAAAACAGGGATGCAAGATGGGAGCAAACTTGAGTCTACTATAATGCCCAAGCATGTAAAATCTGTCACTGGTCAGAGACAATCAGTTCCCAGCAAAAAAGTAAGCACACTGAAAGGTAAAGAAGGACATTTTTCCGATGACTCCTTAGACGAAAGGGAGAGAGATTCTCCCAGTGAGAATCTTCATCATGGCCGTGGAGCAGAAGAACTAGCTGATGACCCAATTGTTGATGAGGAACAAGAGGCTACCATTAGAAGTTTAATGGCCAAACTGAAGGCAGAACCCAACAGTGTTTTCTCCAATGATTCCCTTGGAGAAGAAATGGATGAGGAAGAGCAAGTGGCCATGTTGAGGGAAGCTCTCAGACATCTTCAGATGAGGTGAGTGCTGTAGGATATCAAGTTGATTCAGCTGCAACTTTGAAATTTTGAACACCACTTATTTTCAAGATTTAGAATTACACCCAACTCACTATTCAAAATAGGCTTTTTAAAAATAAAACTAAAATACAGATTAATCATTTTGTTTGAATATTATGAGAATTTACTTTAAATCGATCAATGTGTTACCCGAACACAAATTTTCTCAGAATTGATTGATTTTATGTATTGCATTTTAATGTAGATTTACCATATAAGATCATTTAATGGAAATGTTATATTAAGGGGAAATGAAAAAGACCTTTTAGGTGCCAGGTTTGGGTTTCCTATCTAGATTAATTAGTCCTACTGGTATATTTTCTGTCTCTGATTACAGTTATGTTTCCTGTAACTCCTAGAGGCTTAATACCTGATACAAATTGACTAAAACATGATCTTGCAGTAAACACTGATTTTGAAATTAAGGTTTATGTCAAAATCAATCTGTCTTCCAACACATAGATGAATTGTTTGGGGAACGTGGCATTAAGAATTGATTGATTAAATCAACAGGGGCCCAGAGAAGCCTTACATCAGCCCTACATCAAATTTTGAATGTTTACCACTGAGACAGAAGTAAAATAGCAAAATACCTGGTAAATTATTATTCATGCTCTGCAAAATAGGAATGGTCATCCATCAGTTTATTTTACAAAACATGTTGAATGCAACTTATTCCCAGCTTATTTTGTTAATTTACTATTTTATTTTTTTTATGCTGATGAAAAACAGTGGTACATTGTAATGTGAGTCTTGTCATGTTTTTAAAATACACAGCATTCTAAGCATGCATGGCCCACTTTTTGTCACACATTGATATGTAATTTTAGTACATCACGCAACTTTCATGGTGAAATAAGTGAAAGGCTGAGTTAAAATCTGAAACAACTCCTTGGAGGCAGTAAAAACCAAGGCAACCACATTTACATGGCAACGTTAAACTCAGGTGACACTAAAACCAAATAGCAATTGGCATGATCAAGCTAGAATAGGAGGTTAATTGAACAATCTGTCTCCTTGGAGATTCCTCATCAGAGAAAGAAACTTTGTTATAGCTGAGGATGTGTGTGCAAATTAATTACAGTCTTGTCAATAGCCTCACCTTGTGTCAACACCTAGAATTTCTGGGTAAATTCAGGTAGTGTTTAGAACTTCAATGCTGTGTCAATACAAAATTCTCTCCCAGAATGAGATGCAACAATCGCATAAATTGATTGAAGACCCATGTGGCATTAGATGCTTTATACTGTAAAAAATACTTCTGTGCAGATTCATTTTTAGTAGGTAAATTATTAAAAGGTTGATACAATATTATGAGAAGACTTGATAGCTGAAATTGTTTTTCTGTTATTACCAATTTTTTTTCTTTTTGCTTGGATTTGCTGCTTAACTGTTACTAGTTTCTTTTTTGACATTTCCACCAGCTGTTTTAAATATCAGCTGATATATTTTCTCTTAATTTAAAGTCTGCTCACTCCCATACAGCAAGAACAACGAGACATGCTGAGTTGCAAAGAAAATTGTGATATTAATAGCTGTGCAGGGGGCTTTCAAAAGTAGTTACATGATGTTATTTCCATGTGGAGTGTAGGATTGATAGTTGGTTGAAACTGCTACTTCATACGAACATTGTTGTACTTATAACACCTTTACCTGACATGTAATACATTTTCTATCAAAATCACAATGTGAAATTCACATTTTTATGGATTATTTACTTATAACACAATGATTGACCTAGATTTAGATTGGCACATTGGGACATGGGTCAATGGTTTTTAAAACTCTCTTATTGTTGACAAATCACATTCAAAGGTCTCATACCAATGGCTGGGTATTGACCAACTGGTTAGAATATCAATAACGTAAATTTTGGCAAGAATGCAAAAAGTTTTGATTAAACTCAGATAGAACGGTTCAGATCCTGAAATGGATGAAAGCTTGCATAAACTTTGAACAACACTTAAGGGAATGTTTGTCCTGGATTGCTATGTGTCTCCAAGCGAACAAACCTTTGAGAGGTCATACATGACGTTGGTGCTACTGGCATGTTTAAAACTCCATCGCGGGAGGGTTGTTTATATCATAAGACCAACATGGAGTAGTAGACATGGGGTGAATTGAAGGAGGAGGGAGAAACATGGGATGCACCTGCAGCTCATGCAGGGGGAAGAAGTTAGTAAATTAAGTAGTTAAAGTAGTTATTGTTTTTCTTTAGAATATGTTTGCATGAAGCTTGAAGGGGTTTCCTTGTATTGTTATTACGCAGTATATTCAAGGTCAAGTAAATTGATTACTTGGATGTAGTTGGCTTTCCAAGAATTGATATGGTTGTCTTTCTAAACAGTTTTATCAAAGGGTTTTCTATGTTGTACTGGTGGAGCATATAATTTTTTCGAACACCATACTTGAGTTTGTTCTATTTTAACTAGCATGTCTTATTACTTAAATCGGCTTAGATCAAGGAGACATAAAGTGTTTTACTTGTCGCTGGTAAGGTTTTATTGACAGGCAGTCATGGTCCAAATTTTGCACAGCCCGATAGTGCTCTTGCAGGGGGGTGGGTGTACTATTTATTAATATTTTGTGCACATTTACCTTTTGTGCTATTGTTTCGATAAACATGACTGCACTTTACAATATATTTGTAGGAATGGATTTTGTAGTGATTGATGCTAAAATGTATGTTCAAAATAATCATCTAATGGTTGTGACATTTTAAGAATATAAATGTAAAACTTTCTTTGAAAGGAAAATGATGATGATGACAGCATAGATATAGTTCCTGTATTCTTTTATCTTAAATTTTTTTCAAGGCAAATTATACATTATTGTAGGTTTTTAAAACATTGTTTTGGAAATAACTGACTTAACCCTAGTTCAGTGATTTAACACAAAACCTACATGTACATCAATTTAAATTACTCAAATATATTTATTTTGATCAAAATAAGTTCTATAGGTATGATACTTGAATTGTAGCTTCAGTAGGAGTGGTGTACATTAGTAGTTAAAACCAGTTATTCGTTTTAGTTTTGATTCATTTTATACAGAAAAACAGCAGCTGCTTTTCAGCAAAATCAAGATCTCCATGGAAACTTAAAAGTTAAGGTCAGCAGCTGTTCATACTTATCCTTAAAGTCACACTTTTCTATCAAATGTCTTAAAATGAATGTACAAATGGTACACTGTAAGTTCTTTAATGTATTATTTATGCGTTCCAGAAGCCAAGAAGGCCAGACACCCCACCTTTCAGCTGTCAAGAAGGCAATCCGGCAACGTGCAACGCGCAAACATGAGCGAAAAATCGGTGAGGAGTCGGATGACAAAGGCCTATTATCAGATGACTCGCTCATATTGTCAGGTAAAAACATGAAGTACCTGGTTAATAAACCAATTTCAATAAAAACTGAATGAATTCACTTGAAACAAGATATGGGAGTGTGTCACAATAACTGAAAGCAATTTCAGTGAAAGAAGCAATATCAATGAAAACTAATGATTTTCTCTTGGACAAGGCGTGGGAGCTTTACTAGAAACAAGACTGGATAAATACTAGGACAAAAACATAGCTGTCCTAATTATTCTACACAAAATGAAAATGTAATAGGTATACTGGATATGCCCAGAAAAGATTTTTTTTGTGTGTATGACAAGGAAATGGCATTGAAATAGGTCTAGGTGATCAGTAGAATCTGATGTGTTGTTGACTTAAAAGATATAGCATAGAAGTGAACAATGGTGAGTTTGTTAGCAAACAGAAGTGGAAGTAGTAAAGCATGGAAATTATGCACATTTACTTTTGTGCTTATTTTGTGTTCACAGCTTCATACAGTGTTCCATAAAATGATGGTACATTTTATGCAAATTAGTTGAAAAAGCATTTTGTTGTGTGTAATGTTGTGTGTTTGACAGAATGTCAACCATACCATGCACTCACTATTTATCCATTTTCTTAAACAAGTTGTCATTTTTAGAAATAATAATTTTTTACAAATAATATTTTTTAACTAAGGACAATTTTTGTTTCATTTAAGATGGCAAAACCAAGACTTCTCCCAGGCCGGGCTCTGCAGGAACCAGAAGGCGGCGACGGCCGATCCCAAAACTTTTCGACAGCATGCGGTCCAAGCGTTCGAAGACCACCAGCTCTGAAGAGTACATTACATCTGAGAATGACAGCATATTTTCGGATGATTCTTTGACTCATTCTGAGGGCCGCACTGTAGACAGCAGCACACGCTCTGGAAGTCTTTCTCCTGTGAGAGGATTGAAAGTATCTGTGACCACAGAAACACAGACTGAGCAGATACCCAACAGTTCTTCTCTAACATCACCATCTGACAATAGGGGGCAGCACATTCCAGTCTCCACAAAACTGGTAGACGATGTCATCCATGAAGAACCAGAAGCTACACACAAAGTTAGAAAATCTGGGAAACGCGTTGACAAACAACCAGAAATGAATGTAAAACAAGACATGAGGGAGTTTTCGGGAGGAGAACATTTCAGAGACCAAGATAATTCAGATTCTCAGGATGCATCATTATTAACAGTCAAGTCACGAGACAGTTCTGCTGACAGAAACAGCATATATGACAATGTACCAGGTCCATCTCGGGACAGGACACCAGAGAGGCTGAGAGAGTTATGTGTGACACCCACTGAACTATGGCAGAGTGGGCCTCCCAAGAGAGTCAGCACCGCACATGTCACCAAAATAGAATTTGAAGAAACAATAGTGGACAACATGCTTATAATGGAAGGAACACAGACTGAAACAGCATCAGTGAGCACTGAAGAAGGTCCCCAGTTATTCCATCCTACCTCAGCAGAAAATGTGCAGACTTTACTGAAAATGCCTAGAACTCCCTTGGATCTTAGAGTCACTGAAATTGAGTCCTGGAATTCCCCCATAGAGACTGAATTCATTAATAGCAAAGAAACATCAAATCACAGCAGCATGAACAGAACTGCCAAGGAATATGTTGCCAGTCCACAGCCCCACGAAGATGTGTCAACTGGGTCAGATAGCCCTACAGAGTTCACTGTTGCTCATAATATTGCAACACCACACACTAATAGAATTCAGAATGCTGACTCGGAAGCTCCAGGTGTTCCCCAGAGTTCAGTGCATAAAAATCGTCCTGCCAGGATAACAGGGTTGACTAGGTCACAAGTGAATGTTTGGACCAATCAGGAAGTTTATGCAGTGGAAAAGGGTCATGAGGAGTTGCCTGATGCTTCCTCTGAATTTCCTACTCAAACTCGCGTTATAAGACAGGCCATCGACACCAGTGCAGATTTGATTCTTGAACCGATGTCATCTCCCAATAGCAATCAGCAGGCAATTCAAGACGCCATAGAGACCTCTGCTGACATCACAAAAGAGGCTATTCAAGGTCAAGATGAAAAAGGAGTTATAGATACTCATACTCCACTGAATGTCATGAAAGGTTTGACAGTAAATGTTTCAGAAATTGACCATCAACCTTTAGTGCCAGAAAGGGATTCATCTGACTCTGCGTACAGTGAAATGTCAAGTCCTCAGGGTACTCTAGAGAAAAGGATTAGTTCAGAGACTAATACCACTGACACATGTAGTGATGGGAACAGTGAAACCAATCATCATCAGGGTATATCACAGAAGAGATTACCGTCACTTTATGATAACAGTGAAACAAACAGAGATTCCTTTATCCAGAACGATAAGGATGCTTTAAGAGATGGCATGTCTCAGCATGATTCAACTGAGGAAGACCTGGCCCACAGAGAAATAGCTTTTCCATCCCAGCATTCTTTAGATGCTCTTTCGCAAGGTACAAGTGGCATCTTCACGTTACATGACTCAGAAACTACATCAAACTTTTCTCACCCATCTCCTTCTGAAACTCTAAATAGGAGATCAATTTATGATAATGCTCAAGAAGAGGTAGATGTGCCTCTAGATTTAACAGGTGCCTTAAGTTTTACTGGAACATATTCCAGTATGGCTGAACCACACAGTGAGCCTATGGAAAGAGAAATCACCCCTGAAGAAATACTATCATCAGTCACTAATGTTGAGCTTGAACCTAGCAAATATGTGAAGCCTGATAAATTTCCTAGTCCCGAGAAAGTTCAGCTTTTACAAAGTAGAGAGTTGGAGGCATTAAGACTTGCTGAAAAGAAGCCCAAAAGCTCTGATGAGTCTTTGTATGATAATGTGCCAAAATCTGTAGATTCTTCCTATGAAAATTTGAAGAAGATAGATATCCAGAGTGCCTCACAGAAAAATCCAGATCAAATGATTGAACCCAGCATTGTTACAGATACTTGTGCAGATTCAAATGATAATACTGTAAACAAACGAGATTTCATACGTGAAAGGTCAGTGTCTGCTGAAAGTCTTTCCAGAACTGATGATAAACCAGTTGCTGCTGAAACCCGGTCAGTGGATTCTTTTCTTGATTATGAAAATCAGATACGAGAACAACAAATGGGTCACCTACAAAGACCTTTTGTGTGTTGTGAGACTTCTTCTGATTCCATGTATGCTGATGCAGAAGAAAGTTCAGTCTCTGATGAAATAAGTGCCCAAGAACTGCTACATAATATCCCTAATCTGGTGGCAACATTTCAAACAAATATCACCAGTGAGCTTGCACAAGCAATCCAGGAGTTACAGCAAGGTCCCCAGTGGAGTCCTAGTGTGACTCCAGAAAATATTCCGTCCTTGATACCTGATGCTCAGGAGGCTTTGCCACGTGACCAAGTAGTCCCTGGTGCTAGCTTCCATAATTTGACAGAATCTGAACTTGGGCATGTGTCTCCACAAGTCATTCCAGCTATTCCGTCCAGTGATACCCTCATAGTAACTGTCTCACAAAATGAAGTGCCAAGTGTGAGTGAATCTCCTAGCCAAACTACTGAAGACACAGAACAATTCAAACAAGAGGGTGTTAGCACTAAAATGGAAACTGAGCTACCTGCTCATACAGAGGATTTAAAACATGGTGTGGCTTTCACCAAAGATATCAGTGTAGAAAATGCAGATGAAATTGATACAAATTTTCCTGCTAGCCCTTCCCAGTTGCCAAAGCATATCTCTGTGGATACCAGATCAGTGGCAGAAAATGTTTTAGAGGCTGAAAATGCACCAGTTATGCTGAAAGAGGACAGATCTGAGATCCAGAATACAAACCCTGTATTTACCAAACCAAAGCAAAACAATGTCTCGGACGCGTTCAAGGTTCAGCCTCTGTCAGAAGTTAAGACACCTGAAGAAGTACGTCCATACACCAGACCAAGGAGTGAATCAATTGGGGAAGATAAAAACACAGAAGATAAAAACATCAAACCACCATTGGCAATTGGCAGCAACATGACAGCTGTTGAGTTTTCGTCTCCTTGGTCTGAAGTTCCAAAGCTAGTCCCTGTTTGTACCAAACCAGGCAGTAATACAGCAGGCAGTGACACTCTGGTAGTGCAGTCATATGACATAGTGCCATGTGACCCAGTGTCAGGTGACACAGTATCAGGTGACTTAGTGTCAGGTGCCTCAGTGTCAGGTGACCCAGTGCCAGGTGATCCAGCATCAGGTGATACATGTACTTCTTTTGACGAGGATTACCAGACTCCATCGCAGTCTTCACTGAAAGGTATTTAGATGTACTGTGAAGCACATACTTCAGCTTAAAAAGATGTCAAACACACCCGTACGCAAACAGGCATTCGTGCATGCACTTTCACACACACATGGTCATAGATTTAAAATGTAAATCTAAAGAGGTTCCATGCTGGTCATTCTTTAAAAGACCAGAAATTAATATGATTTAAGCACATAGCAGATATCCATGAGATTTTCAGTGATTCCCATGAAAATCTATATATCATGTAGTTTGGTATCATGACAGAAATTTATCAATCTCTTTTTACAGATATGGTATCTTCAGTGCTGTCTCTTCAAGATGGTGAGATGGCTGAAAGAGGTGATGGTGGTATAACAGCCATTGAATCCATGCAACCCATTGAGTCTAGCTCGTTTCCGCCAGTACCCCAGGGCAAGACCACTCTAGGTGTGATGGGTAATCAACCAGAGGAGCAGATATGGAATACACCTGAAGATGGCAATGCACAAGGCAGTGGTGGATGGTATACCAAGCCAGTTAATACAGACCATTTAGGTGAAATAAAACATGATCTAGATGAACAAGAAGTGAAAAACTTTGGCCAAGAGTCATGTCAAACTGCAGTAGATGGCCAGATGCCACCTGAAAGTAACACTTCTGATTTGAACAATTCACCAAATAATTTACAAACCACAGAAATGAATAAAGTGACAGAAGACATGACACCAGTATCACTTACACAGACCCATGGGAAGCCATTAGAAAGTGAGATTAGATCTAACAAAGCTGAGACAAACCAAGCAGGTGACACAGCCTTGGTTCCACTGCCTGCTAAAAATTTTACAAATGAGCCAGAAAGAACCGTGGGTACAGGTTGTCATATGGCACAGCTGACTCAGGCACAAGATTCAGATAGCAAAACCTTTCCTGCTGACAAATTAGTAATGCCAACAGATGTATTAGCTGCAAGTGATATATCAGAAAACAATACAGAATCAGTAAGCTCTCTAAGTCCAGACAAAAATGGAGATCATACTGAAAGAATGGTGCTTGGTTCAAAAATTGATACCACTATGCCTCAGGAAGTAACTGGTGTAGTAAGTCAAAGCGTGTTGGGAGGATCTTCAAAGGCCTCCATGCCTAGTCAGTTTATGGCACTGAATGATGGAGCACTAAAAACACTTCCCTTAGAAGAAAGTGAGAAACGAACACGGAGTGCCAGATCAGTGTCTCCTCAAGCATCTGACAAACCAACATCTTCAAGATACCATGAAAAGAAAAAGTCTTTGCCCAGAGATATTTCACCTAGAACAAGGTCAAGGTCTCCAATTGATCACACCCCATTACAGCAAGGTTCGTTGCCATCGGAGAAAAGTTCATTGGGAAAAGAAGTTGACTTGAGTGGAGCAGAGGATGACCAGGAGATGGTGCTGTCACCTCCTCAGGTCATCACTCCTGTTACAGCGGGGGATATGAAGGACCTGCCTTCCCCTAATGAAGGGCAAGATTACAACAACCAGTCTTCATTGAAAGGTATGGCAGAAAAATGTCTTTAACATCAGTTCTCATAAAAAAGGTTGCCTATTCTTGAAGCTTGTTTTAAAAGATTTAGTGATGAATTTATTATAATCATATGAACTAATACTGCATTTTTTAATGTTGTGAAATAATGGATTCTAGCCATATACTGGTATATAAATTGTTTGACAAATGTTGAAGTAAATTGTATTTGATTGAGAACAATTAAGATATTTATTTTCTCTGTAGATTTGTTAACTGTTTTGTTCTGCTAAGTTTTTACTTTTGTTTTCATTTTTAAATTACTAATTTCAGATATGGTGATGTCAGTTTTATCAAACGAAGATGTCAAGGAGCCAAATCTGCATACAGATGTAGAGACAGCTATAATTCAGCCATCTTTGACAGAATCTGTGGTGCAGAGAGATGGCACATCCCAGGCATCTAAAAAGAAAGTTGATCATCAAGAAGAAGAGACAAGTGAAGATTCATCAGTTGAAGACCAAGGAGAGTTGGTGGCTGCTTCAGATACACCTGTGATATCTTTCGTTAAACCTGCATTTCAAGGCCAACTACTTACCACCTCTGAGGAAGCTGACGCTCCAAACAAAGACATAGCACATATGACTGGAGAAAGCGACAAATCAGTGGAAAAGCAGGCATCAGAAAGTGACTCTGTCAGAAGACGTCCACTTTTACGCTTAGAAAAATCTCAGTCCTCCATAGCAGTACCAGATTTATTGGAATCTGGCATTGTCACTCCACGGGGCATGTCTGTGGATTCCTCTGATGAACTCTCTTCTTCATCAAGTTCTTCATCTCTAGATCTCAGTGGTCTGGAGGTGGAACAGGTGTCATCCCCAAAGCATTCTGTTAGTTCCCCAGGTGCAAAATCTCCCATTTCTAAAAAGAGGAAGACATCATCATCATCTAGTCAGAGAAGAGACAAAGCTGACAATAGTAGCAGTGACAGTGGGGATGAATTTTTCTCTCGGCGCCATGACAGAGGTGCCTCTGATGTCCGTACTGATCAAGCAAAGTATATTTCTCCTTTGCCTCAAACAAGAGGAAGAGTGCTTGGAAGAAAAGCAGAAATATATGCCAGAAAGCAGAAACTCCAGCTTCAGGCTCCAAAAACCCAAACAGTTCACTCAGAAACTGTGAAGGGAAAGTTTTTCTCTGGTGACATTAATAAGGTCTCAAAAGATGATTTCAGTATTTCATCGCCAAGTGAGAAACCTATAAAAAGGTCAAGATCTGAAAGTCCTCAGAAAGGAAGATCAGGGACTCCACCTTCTGAGAACTCGGAGAGTGATCATGAATCAGAGTCCAGTGATACCAGTGGGGAGTACTTTGTTCAAGGAGATGGTGTTGCCCATGACACCCTGGAGAGAATAATGGAGGAAGCTGATGAAGAGATTGGGGACTTTGATGTTGTCATCAAAGATAATTCTCATATTCTGAAGCATTCTGCAAAACTGCAAGATGCAAGTAAGGTCAAGACAAAGGGTGGTCCCTCTGAAAAACCATGGCTAGAATTTCAAGAAAAACTGAAATCACCTCAGCATAGAACCAATATCCACAGTGCAGAAGATGATATACTGCAGCAGCTTGCCAGTGGAGTGAGAGTTGGAACAGAAGAGATAGTTGATGCCCACTTGAAGCTGTGTATTAAGTACATTCTTGATGCCGAGAAAGTCATTATTGAAAGAGACCCATTCAAGCGTAGCTTGTCCCAGGCTGACACAAGTAGAATAGTGATTGCTGACCCAGCAGTGCGAGAGCATATGGCGCGTCTTGAAGCACTCATCAATAATCCTCAGTATGATTCAGACACGGAGGCATGCAGTGACACTGAAAGTGTACTCAGTGTAAAGAGAGGTAAAACCTATGGCAGCTGCCCACAGCTTAATAAAGATTCTGACAATGATTCTAGATCTCAGTTGGACCTGTTGCAATCACCAGAAGCGCCATCATCAAGGGAGCACATTCCTGAAATTGAAAATGACATGGACATTTGTCAACCTAATGATGAAAATCTTGCCTCCAGTGATGGAGAAAGAGCTGCAGAAGCCCAAATAACTCAGACTTTCCATAGAACTGATCCTGATGTAACTAACAACATGAAGCCATCACCCGAGTTTCCTACCTCTGCTATGAAAGAAGATCAAGTCAGTTGTTGTGTATCTGACTCTCCTTTGAAACCAGAAGCTGGTTCCAAAACTCTGCATGAAGGTTCTGTAGAAAGGTCACTGGGGGCTTTGTCTCCAGTTACAGAAGAAGATGTAGAAAATGTACCAACACAGCAGTTTAGTTCACCTAATAAACTAAGATCGTTTTTGAAATCTCAGGTGCAAAGAATTCAAGGAAATGCACCAAAATCACCAACACAGGATCTCAGCCCTTCTATAGCAAGTGGACTGCATAATCCAACCAGTCAACCACCTTCTAAGGAAGATGCAGACACAAGTTCAGAAGATGAGAACATGGATGATGGCGTGCCTGGGAGGCTTGGTGTTGCTAAGCAACTGTTACTAAAACAAATAGCAGACCTTGCATTAGCTTATGCCATTCCACATGGTGAGAACTTCAGCTCAGATGTCCAGACAGAATCTGAAAATCATGCGCAAAATGAAGATAGCACCCAAGATAACCCTAGGCAGGGCAGTACACTGGAAGAAGAAATTGCTCCTAAGTCTAGTGCTTCACTTACACAACATGTTGATGATCATGCAACACCTGAAAACATGGAGGGAAATGACTCTATTTTGGGTACAAAGGAGAATATGTCAAATGTCATTGCACAGATTGTAAAGGAAAGAAACCGTGTCAGACATGGTGACAGCAAGGACAGTGTTGATCTCCATGGCAACATGTCACCAGTGCATGAAACAAATGCAAAAAGAAATAGATCGGGCAGTTTGGATTCTGCATTTGTAGAATTACCCACCAATGCATTTGGCAATGCTCTTGAGGTTATGTTCCCGAAATCAGAAAATGACATTCCTTTGGATGAAAATCTTGCACAAACAGAAAAGAAGGGAGACGTTCTGCTTGACAAAGTCATTACACCAGATGATAAATCAAGAGAAACAGAAAGCGGAGGATCTTTTCAAAAGCAAGATTTAGTGCCCATTAACCAGCAGATGCCACAGAAAGATGTTAGTGATTCTGGCCAGAAAAATATTGTACCATTGGCATCCAAGTTTCCCAGGTCTGCCTATCTTGCGGAACCACCAGTGTCTCAAGAACCAGCCTATGCTGTCACAGAATCCACACAGGTGCAGTCTGTTGTACCAGCACTGAAACAAATGAAAGACAGAGAAATCCTGGAAATTTCCAAAGCACTAGCCAGGGGAGATCACCCGAGTCAGATTCTCAAGGAGCACCTATCAGATATGGATGAAAAAACCTTGACCGAATTACTGAGGAAAGATCTGGAAAGGCGGCGATCAAGACATAGTCTGAGTGATTCTGCGATCAGTTCAGATTGCACAGATGGTGAATTGTCTACCACAGTTTCACCAAGATCAAGCAGAATGTATGATTCCAACAAACTTCTGTTTGATAAAGGTGGCACCCCACCACCTGTTGACAAAAGGTCTGCCACCGTTGAGGCATTTGCAGCTACTTCAAAATGGTCACCAACTTTGACTGAATCAGAATTAAAAAGTCTGAAACGTAAACATAGTTTAGATAAAAAAGCAGCAAAAGCTATCCCTAGTCCTTTGCAACCTAAGGCCCCTTTAACAGACTCTGGGAATGTATTTGATTATGAATCCAGCAATGGGTCTTCAGATGGTGAGAGATCAGGGGTCTCAATGGGGGTTGAAGTTCTGGGAAGGGAAATGAAGCGAGTTTCACCACCAAAATCACCTGGCAAGAAACTAGAGATGCCTATGGCGGGTGAACTCCTTACATCCATACCAGGATCCCCAACTCAACAAATGAGACCTGGGACATTTCCCACTGATGTTGACATTGAGGTTCAGCAAGAAATGTCAAAGAAGAGATCACTGAAAGGTCTGAAATCAGTTTCTCCATTACTGGAACAAGATGAAGATCTTTCAAGTTTAGAACAAGAGTCAAGTTTAGAACAAGAGCCAGTTGAAGACACAGCAGCAGTTTTGCAACCTAATCTCCAGGTGGTGGGTCAAAGGTCTCAGGAGGCTGCTCTTGATGCCATCAATGCACTCAACAGGAGTGTGTCACCTTTTTTACCTCCTTATCATGAAGGTGTTGCAGCCATTCCCACTGAATCAGACAACTTTTCAGGTAATGGAGTTGGCAGGAATTTGCAGGATGAAAGTTATAGGTATATAATCCAACCAAGGAAACAGTCACAAGCAAGCAGCTTACCCACTGCTTCTGAAGTTGAGGATTCTACAGCAGACTCAGCTTCTGGCATACATGAAGTCAATCTCCTAGATGACAAAGATCAAGCAGAAAAAGGTTCCCTTTTATTCAAAGAGCCTGATGTACAGCTCATCAGATCTGTGAAATTTGTCACGCCCTCTCTGCAAGTAATAAAACCGGAGACTTCAGAAGAAATCAATGACCAACAGCCTGCCACTGAAAACCCAGCAGAGCAGCAGGATTTTGCTGAAAGTGAGACAGTTTTAACACAAGAGGAAATCTTAGCAGCAAAGTGTGCAAAATTTGAACACAGTGACATTGACTACCTGTTTCATTTTAGACGCATCATGATGAGGTCACCTTCAGTTTCTGACATTGATTCCCAAATATCTGTTGAGCCACCAAAGGACAAAACTGATTATACTCGATCACTGTCTGCTGACTCCATTCTTGAAGCTGATGACTATTTCAGCACTAGATCAGTAAGCACTGATAGTATCACTTTTGTGTTTATGAGCAGGTCTAGGAGTCTGGATGATCTTGATAATGATGCATCACCTAGCAATTCAACATCTGGAAAGAAGACATTTGAACAAAGTGGTAGAAGCCCCTATGGAAGCCCAAAAGGCAGAATGTCTCCACGAATATCATCTGCTTCAGGCTCTTTGGAAGATAAACATAAAAACGGATTAGATGTGCCGTCTACTGAAGAAAAAGATCAAGATATTGGAACAGATGGTGCAATAGTAAAAGACACTGATGTGAAACATGGCAAGTACAAGCTCAGTAGAAACTCACCACCTCCCCCTGAAAGAACGGTGTCATCAGAGGATCTTGCAACAGGAAAGAAACCTGCCAACAGGAGAGCTTCAGTTGCCATGATGGAATCCCCAAGAGGAGGGGAATTCGCAACCCCACTTTCCAACAGGATACAGTCAACCAAAGCAGACAGGATGTTAGAATACTCTGATGACTCGATGGAGGATATACCCAAGAAACTTGAAGAACTAGAACAGGAATATGCAGAGAAACTTAGCAGGGCTCTTAGAGATTCAGAAAACCTAGCAAAGAAATCACTAGATTTGGGTTTCAGAAAGAAATCAACCATGGAAAATTCACTGAGTCCATCTACAATTGCTGCTATTTCTGAGGATCATGAAGATACTTTACAGTTACTTCAGGAAACAAGTGATGAAGTTCTTGCTGTAGACTCTCCACCATCAAGAGAAGGAAAAACAGTTAGTACAGAAAATGTGGCCTCTCCACCCAGTCCTGAGAACTCTAGCTTTGATGCCATCATGGGTAAACTTGGGGCTTTGCAGCTAGAGATAGCAGGGACCAGTTTTAAATCAGAATCTACACAAAGTCCCACATCAGTATCAGACGTTCAGCAAAATAAAGAAACTGTTTTGAAAGTGAAAGAAAACGATGATATTTTAGTGGGATGTACCAGTGAGAAGGCATTTGAGAATGCTTCAAATGTAAACTCACAGGCTGTAAATGAAACAGATACTTTGCATCCTACCCTTGACAAGGAAGAGGCAGGATGTGACACAGTGCCTGACACACCAATAACCCCACCTTTGGTTGTCACAGAAACAACAGAAGTGATTCAGATGCACAAAAAGTGTGAGGAACACCCAGAAAAACTAGTTGAGAGAGATATCAAAGTGGAAAGAAAACCAGAAGATATACAGATGCCTCCTGTCTCTGAGGTCCAAGCCGCCCCTCAAGATCTCTCTATCGGTACATCTCAACTGACTGGTGTGGTAGGTGTTCTGAAGGAACCTGACATGGAAAAGAAAACAGAAATGTCTGAATTGCCATTGCTAAAGGTTACAGATGGAAATGGATTGTCAAAAGATGCTGATAATAATAAGCCTGTGGACAGGGACAAGAAACAGCAAGTGACAACACCTAAACTACCATCATCATCTGGCTTGCTAAAAAGTAGTACACCTGTCAAGAAAAGAGAAAACCCCATAAACATTCTACAGTCTGACGTTAGCTCTGAGGAGCAAGAAGAGGTTACAAGGACACAGCAGTATAGTGGATTGGAGAATGAAAAGACTAGTGTCCAATTTGAAGAGCAAAAAACCTCGACACCTGATATTGAACAAGGCGTAGTTCCTTGTAAGGAGTTAGATGTTAAAAACTCCATAAGCAAGATATTGGTAGCAGATCACAATAGTCCTCAGCAGCAACCCCCAATGCAAGAGGAAGCTGAAAGTAGAATCTTGGTTGAAGAGCCTGGGACTGTTAAAAGAAGCCTAGATGAAAAGAGAGGGATGAGACAAAGGTCAGAAGAACAGACACAAGGCCAACAGATGAATAGCTTTGGCGAAAATCAACCTCCAGATTCTCCAGAATCAGTTCCCACAGGTGTTTCTGCTGTAATGCCTTCAGTTGGGAAACATGAAAGCCTCCCAAGTGATAAGCAGGGTGTCTATATCCCTACTTGGTTAATGCATGAAATTGAAGACAGTATGGCTGCACTGGACAAAGCCATTAGTGATGAAGATGATGCAGGCATTCTACCAAGCATAAATGAGTCACTGGTTATTAAAAATGCAACTGAAAAGAACCCATCTGAAAGTAACATGGATATTGAGAAGACTGAGGAAAATGCCCATGGTGTGTTAGTTACAAATGAGTTGGCAACAGAATTGCCCAGCAATGAAGGAAAACCTTTAGGAAGTGGTCAGAGAGCAGAATTGGGTAGAGTTTCTGCTGTACAGTACCCTCAGCAAACAAAGCAAATTCCTCTATCTGTTCAAGTAGTTAGAGACCCAAGAGAGAATTCCCTGCCAAGTGAACAGATTAAAATAGGGGATTTGAGTTCAAGGTATGAAATTCCACCTGAAGATGAAGATGGTGCAGAAATAGGACTTAAGCCTGTTTCTGAACTAAATAACCAAGCGGCGAATGCAACTAAGAATGATACAGGTTCTGCAACAGTATATCAAAAACAACAGCTGTTGCTCATGGGTGCATCTGTGCCATCTTCTACAAATGACATGAGTAATACTGAAGAAAGGCAACTCACAGCAGGAAAAGAAGGTGAGATCTCTTCTATGAAAGACGAGGTTGCTGGAAGAAAACAGGATATTCATGCACCAAAGGGAAAAGACAATTTGTCAATGGTAGAAGAAAAAGGAATAAAAGAAGACAAAAATGTATCTGCTTTAGCTGAAGATCAAAGTCATATTGCAAAAGTCATTCCAAATGAGGATATAGAACAAGTTGAAAATGTGAGCATTCTCACAATGGGAGAAAATGAAGAGATGCATCTTTTGCCTCAGCCAGAAAAGTTGATACAAGCACCCAGAGAAATTACAAAGTATCATGAGGAACAGCAGCATAAAGAGGACATCAAGCCACAACTAGAGCTAAAGTCTATTAGACCATCTTCACATCTACCATCTGATGTGCCGACTGAGCAGTCTCATGGCAGAGAGGATGTTTTATCTGCAGCACAAAATGATGAGATTCTCAAGCATGATTCAGTACATGAAAAGCAAGTATTGACTGCCTATAAACCAATAGAAGCCAATCCTGATGAACAGAGTATACCAGTTGCTCAGGTTCAGACCCTCCAAGCAGACAGAAACCATGAAGGATTTGGTGACTCAGAGGAAGACATAGCTAGATGTGAAGAAGTGACCAACTCTTCATCAGATTTAATCAAAGAGAATGAAGATGGCTCGCCAACAAGTATTGGCAGTAGTACAGACATTACAGATCAGAGACCTTCCAGTAGCCTTTCATTCCCAACTAGAGAGGCATCTGATATCCAACTGGAGGGGCATCTTACTGATTTCCAAAGTATTCTGCCCTCTGAAGAAATACAAGACTCTTTTGAAAAAGAAAAGAAATTATCAGATTCAGATGCAGATCCCAGCCATGATGTTCAAACACCAAACAGAATAATTGTGGAACAAAAACCAGACCAATCTTCTGAAAGTAATTCTATGTTACTAAGTGTCTTGGGCAGTACAGAACCACCAGCAGATCAGAGAATTAAGGGAGAAATGAAAACACCATTTAAAACTTCTGAAACATTATGGTCAAAGGCAGGGGAAGAAGAGCTGGTTTCTGACCCCTCTGCTTCTGCTGCAGGACTACTTAGAACAGCCAAAGTGGGCAAAGTTGATGTAGATCAGAAACATGCGACATTGAAGGCTCAGATAGGAACAAGCAGCCGTAGAGCTGAGTGTGATCCACTGCTAGAAGAATGGGAAGATACAGAGGATGAATCAGTTGGTGTTGTTGGATTAAACGTAGACAAGGCAAACTCTGCAAGCTACCCAAATGTGCAAGTATCCCATCAAACAACTGAAGAAAGCAGAACACTGGCTAATGATGGAAGTGATGCAAAAAGCAGCACTGGAAAACCTGAAGAGACACTAATAGAAACACCCCTTGCAGTATCCAGCAATAAGGAAGATACACAAGAACCCTTTGTGGCTACTGAAAATGACATGGAAAAAGACGAATCATTTCAGATTAGTCCATATAACAGTGACCAAACATCAATTCCTAGAAATCAGCAAGTTTTTGATAATTTTGGATTTGATGAAGCCTCATCAGAAAGTGATCCTGAAGCAAAAGGTTCATACAGCAGTGAACCAGATTTCCACATTGAAGGACAATCTCAGAACATACCAAATCCACCAGTGTTTGCAGAAAATATGACATCTTTTGTGAATTTGGCATTTGATGACAATTTAGAAAATGAGGAAGTACCCCCAGAAAAATCAAATCACCCTTTTTCGTTAGATCAGCTAACAAGTGCACAACATCTATGCAGACGAACTCTCACAGCAGTTCCTGAAGTATTGGAGTCTGAAGATGATTCTGAAGACAGAGAGAGTTCTGAAAGTGATCATGGAATGAAAGAACCTTACAGGATACATGGCATTGGTGATAAAGGACCATCTCTCAGAATGACATCTCCAAATTTGGAAGTCTATGAAAATCTTGGATTTGATGGAAGCTCAGGGAGTGACTCTGACACAAAAGAATCATCTGATATTACAATTGTGAAGAATGAAAGGACTCAGTCCCGAGGCCAACTTGCATTACATGACATTTTAGAAGATGTGAATGAATTAGGTTTTGCTGAGTTACCCAAAAATGAATCCCACACAAATGCAAATGCAAGCCAAAATGTAAGGAATGAGCAAAAATATCCAATGATTAAATCAAATGTAGAACACCAGGGAGAAAGCCTGTCCCATCCTCATACAAGAGAACCATATTTGTCAAGAAATTGGGATGACCAAAACAATCTTGGTCAAGGATTGAATCAGGAAATGCCCTCAACACTAGATATAACAAAAACATCTGATTCTACATCTGAGGAGAAAAGAGATGTTGAATCCAGTGTGTCTTCATCAGAAGAGAAGGATGAGATTAAAAGCAAGATGAATCCTGGGAAAAATGGCATTGACTTACAGGGAGCTCCTAATGCAGAAGAAGGACCACTTAAACATTCTGATGAGAAATTAGATCCCCATCAAGAGCATGCTCCAGGTACATCATTATATCAACTTCAAAACAAACACATTGAGTTATATTCTTCTTTGGAAGAGTATGAAACACCCGAAAGTGACTTGGAAGAATTTGTAGATGCAGAAGAATATTGCACGCCAATTCGAAGCCTTGCCAAGGTTGTTACTCCTGAAACCCTCACAACTGCACCAATTATTTCTGCTACACAGGCAGAGGTGATCCATGCTCCTGCCAATGTACAAGGAGTGTTAGAGGAGGGGAAAATGGAGAGAGAGCCAGACGACATACAGTCAGTTATAGAGACAGCATCTGAAAATTCATCAGAAAGGACAGAATCACTGGAGTCAAGCACTGAATCAACAGAAGCAGGTGCAATGCCAATAGTAAAACGATCAAAGTATGCAGAGAAACTTGAAGCTCTAAAGAGAAAATTAACAAGTGAATCTGAGAGTGCAAAGGAGATTCCTGAAAGGGATTTAGACAACAAGTCATCAGCTTCAGTACTGATGAAACATCATGATGGTGGCATGAAGGAGAGGCCTGCTGATGAAACAACTGCTCATGAAATTATCCCAGAGAAGAGTACAAAGCCACAAGAAACAGATGTAATGGAAAATCTAGGAGACAGGTTTTCTCAGCTTTCAAGTAAAGAAAAAGATGACTTGCCAGCATATTTTGCAAAGCATCTAGCATCAGATTTAGGGTCACCTGAATCAGATTTTGCATTGGCACACTTAGCACATACAGAAGAGGCGTCATTTCCAGGCTATCCCAGCAATGTGGAAATGTCAGCTGAGGAAATGATAGCAGTTCAAGAGGGTAAAGGATCAGTGAAGGACAATGTTCAGACACCCAAGAATACCAAGTCAGACAGTACAGCAGACTTAGATCATTCAAAGAACAATGGTTTAGATAGAAAACCTGAAATTAGATTGTTTTCATCTAATGTCACATATGCAGGTAAAGAAAGTAATTTGAGCATTGACACAGAGTCTCAACCTACTGCAGAATCTTCACATTCAGCTGCTATGGATTTTGACACCGTTACTCAAGAAACTATGAGCAGTCAGGGAAATGATGTATTAAGACCAGAAGTTGATGTGGAGTTCCATTCAGCAGAGGAAAGTTATCTCCAAGACAAGCCAGATCTGACTTGTGGTCTTTTCAAAACACCACAAGGGGATAAGATTGATTGGACCCAGATGCATGCCAAAGGAACAGCTCTGCATGAATACCAAGCACAGCCAGGACAATATCAGGCCCCAGAGGAAGATGTGGAAGAGTTTGATATTCCTGAGAAGCTTTCATGGGCCCTGTCCAGGGTTCAACCAGAAATAGAAATGAAGAAAGCGGGTACAACAAGATCAGTTGCAGACTCTCTGAGAAACCAGGATGGAGAAGTTAATCTTAGAGAATCACATACACAGGGTGATGTTGAGATAATCTTAGAGGAAGGTAGCAGTCCAGATGATGACTCACCAACTAGACATCAAACCAGACAGATAGATTTGAAGGCAAACTCTGCATACGTTGAAAAAGGAGAGGATAACTTATCTCAAGGATTATTTGATGGGAGTAGTGCTGAAAGTGAACAAGATTTGGACATTCAGAGGGAAGAAGACATACCAACATTAATACCAATAAAGCAATTCACTTCAGGGCCAGGGACACTAAAGACATTTGAAATACAAGATAGTGAGAGCACTAACCAAGCATCAGATGTTACAGTTGAAGAAGAAATGGGCCAACAAATATCTGTAGAAAAGAGTACTTCTGAAGGATTAGAAGATGGCACTGAAGATTGTACTTTATTGAATAATCAGCAGACCTCCATCATTCCTGAGGCTGATAAGGACACAAAGTCAGAACATACAATGCGCTCCACTTCAGATCATATGCCACAGGCTCCACATGCCAAATATATGCAACAACTGACAATAGATGAAGCTAATGCCACTCTTGTTCAGGACCATCTAACCTTGAAAGACTTGGTCCAGCAGGCACTTGTGCCTCAAAATAGCAGAGCTCCATCTGGTGTGACAGACCTTTCAGATTCAGAAATTGAAGTAGATTCAGCAGAAAGTGCTTCACCAGATTTGTCATGGCAGATATTCATGGACAAAACTGCACAAGACATCTCCAAAGTGCCTCAATCAAATGCGCCATCTCAGAGCTCCATGGATACTGCTGCACTATATAAACCTGAAGTGCCAGCACAAAATTTCTTGCCAGAGGACATTGCAAACATAGCTGAAATAGGTGGAACTCCAGTGCCTTTGTCAAATATGCTGCCAAAAAATCCAATGGAGATTCCAAGACTAGACAAATCTCTTGTACCTACATTAGGTGTTGCACCACAGGCCTACAAGGATGCTACTTCACTTGACACTTCTGCCTTCCCTCTAGCAAATATATCTATTAATGATGCATTGGATACCACAGTTTTGGCCCAGGGAACTATGGAGGTTTCTCCTTCAAACACATCTGAAATAACTGTACCACAGGGCTGCGTTGATAGTACTACACAAGAAACATCAGAGGTGTCACAGGGGTCAACTGGTACCAAGAGTGTGCCACCACAGTATTCTACTGATAGATTTGCACTAGACAGGTCTGCAGCACCTCCATCAAATGTGTCAGAAGTGGGCCACATGGCCCCATATACCAGGATTATCCCACAGGATTCCACTAAGGGCACTCCACTAGACACATCTGCAGTGCCTCCATCAGATATGTCATCTGCCTCCATCACATATACTGATGTGAACACACAAGATCTCACAAAGATGAACCCAGATGATTCCACTAATGGAATTCCACTAGATAAGTCAGTGTTTCCTCCATCAGATTTGTCAGCAGCAGGTGACATGGCCATCAGTATGGTCCCACAGGATTCCACATATACTGAAAAGAATCCACAAGATTCCACCAAGATACATTCACAGGATGCCACTAATGGAGTTCCACTGAACAAGTCTGCAGTTGATCCATCAAATATGTCAGCAGCAGATCACATGGACAACAGTATGTCCCTACAGGGGTCCACTTATACTGAGATGAAACAACAGGACTCCACCAAAATGAACCCACAGGATTTGACTGGAATTCCATCAGACAATTCTGCAGTTCCTGCATCAAACATATCAACAGCAGGTGGCATGGACTCCAGTACAGTCCCACATGGATCTACATATACTGATATGAACCCACAGGATTTCACAAATGGTATCCCACAAGACATGTCTGCAGTACCTCTATCAGATATGCCACAAATGGGTTACATGGACACCACTATGTCTACAGCAGATACCACTTATACCCAGATGAACCAACGGGATTCCACGAGTAGAATTCCACAAGATACATCTGCAGTTTCTTCATCAGATTTGTCAGCCCCAGGTGGCAAGTACACAAATATGCTCCCACAGGCATCCACAAAAACTGAGATGAACCCACAGGATTCCACTTATGGGACTCCACTAGATACATCTGCAGTTCCCCCATCAGATTTGTCGGCAGCAGGTGTCATGGCCATCAATATGGCCCCTCAGGATTCCACATATAGTGAGAAGAATTCACAAGATTCCAATAAGATGTACTTACAGGATGCCATTAAAGGAATTTCACAGGACACATCTGCAGTTCTTCCATCAAATATGCCCAAAGCAGATCACATGGACACCAGTATGTCCTATCAGGATTATACCAAGATGAAACAACAGGATTCCGAACATGGGACTTCACTAGATCTCTCTGCAGTATCAAATGTATCAACTTCAGGTCAAATGGACACCAATGTGTACCCACAGGATTCCACTTATACAGAGATTACAGAGATAAACCCACAGGATTCCACTGAATTGAAACCTCAGGATTCAACCAGAAGAATTCCACTACATACGTCTAAGGTTCCCCCATCAGATATGTCAGCAGCAGTTCACATGGACACAAGTATGTCCCCACAGGATTCTACCTATACAGAATTGAACCCACAAGATTCCACTGAGTTGAAACCACAGGACTCGGCTAGTAGAATTCCACTAGATACATCTACGGTTCCTCCATCAGATATGTCAGCAGCAGTTCACATGGACACAAGTATGTCCCCACAAGATTCCACCTATACAGAATTGAACCCACAAGATTCCACTGAGTTGAAACCACAGGACTCAGCTAGTAGAATTCCAATAGATACATCTAGAGTTCCTCCATCAGATATGTCAGCAGCAGTTCGCATGGACACCAGTATGTCCCCACAGCAATTCACAAATACCAAGGTAAACCAACAAGACTCTACTTTGATGAACTCAAAGGATTCCAGCCATATGAACCCACAGGATTCTACTATTGGAACTTCACCAGACACACCTGCAGTGCTTCCATCAATTTTGTCCATAGTGGGTCATATGGACTCTGTTATGTCCCCAGAGGGCTCCATGAGTACCACTGCCCTGGATGCAAGTGGAGTTCCCGTATCTAATATGTCAACACTGGGCTCCATTGATACCCAGATATCTGAACAGGGTACCTTTGATTTAACTGTGGATGATATGAAAGCAGGGCACCTATCAAATGTTCCAGGAGAGGGTTTCATAGAGAATTCTGCTTCAAATATGCCAACAGTACCCCCATCCAACATGTCAACAGTCTCAGGGGAAAAATTGGACAGACATGAGTTGCCTCCATCTCATTTCATGAACGGTGCTGCATTAGATGCAAGTAAAGCGTCTGCACAATGCCCAATGGATACTGAAAATTTCCAAACAAGTTCCTTGGGAACAAATACACTAGAAACAAATACACTTTCACAACCAACTTTGCCTCAGCAGAACATCATAGAGACTACTACCCTGGAAACATTTACAGTGCCTCCATCTGATACAGCAACTCTCAGTGCCACTGATAGCACTGTGCTTGATGCATCAGAAGATCCACGACCATATATGCCTCTTCACAACTCACAGCCCTCTTCTGAACAAAACACTGCAGTAATGTCATCTGGAACAACACCAGGGGAGTCATTGGACAGAACTCGACCACGTACATCTGCTGTGCCTTTCTCCAGTTTGTCACCAAAGGACTCTTTGGAGGCTGATCTTGCTCCACAGGATTTGACTGAGACAACTACACTAGACACTTCTTCAGTGCCTTACTCCAGTGAGCCAATTCCGGGCCCCATGCAGTCTACTGCTACTGAACATTCTGCTGAACCTGCTGAATCAAAAATTATTTCACAGAACACATTGGAGCCTGCTGCACAGAACACATCTCCAGTTACTCCGTCAGATATGGTATCAGAGGCTTCTTTGGACAGAGAGAAACTAGATACATCATCATTACCGCTGTCTAATATGCAGCCAAAGGAGGTTTTGAGATCAGAGATCTCACTGCAAAGTGACATTGGAGCTTCATCTGTGGTCCCTCCATCAGATGTGTCACAAGTGGAATTTATTAATACAACTGTTTTAGTGCCTCCATCAAGCATATCATCAGTGAATTTCTCAGATACCAAGATCATTGACCAGGGCTCCATGGATTTTACTGTACAAGAAATGCCTGCAGAAACATCAAATTTGACATCACAGGGAGACCCAAGTATAGGTGTACTAGACACATCTGAAGTGCATAAGTCCCCACACAGTTCCATGGATTATTCTTCCCTTTCCTCCCCTGAAGTTCTAACAAAGCCAGGAAAGGTTTCTATGGAAACAGAAATGTCATCACAAGATTCCCTGGATAATGCAAGAGACACATTTGCAGATCTTCCATCAAACACTTCAGCAGAGGACTCTGTGGAGACTGGAATCTCACCACAGAGCTCCTTGGATAATGCTCCCCTGACCACAACTGTGACATTTCCACCAGAGAATTTAGCACAGGGGTCTGTGGAAACTGTACCGTCACCAGAGGATTCCATCAATACATCTACACAAGATCCATCCACAGATTCTCCATCAAATGTGTCACCGCAGGGGTCTATGGAAACCAAAAATTCACTAAAGGGTTCATTGAGTACAGCAGAACAAGGCCCGTCTGAAATGTCTCCAGTTGATGTGCCACCTCAAGACTCTACAGATAAATTTGCATTGCCTCCATCAACAATGCCACTACATGAACCCATGGACACTGCTGTTGTAGATACATCTTCAGCGCATCATTCAAATATGAGACCAAATGAAACCATGATTGCCAAAATGTTACCGCAGGGCTCCATGGGTACTGCTGTTCAAGACCTCTCTGCAGGTTCTCCAGCAGATTTGAGGCCACAGAGCCCCATTGATACACCTGTACAAGATACATATACAGTGTCTCAGTCAAAAAATCTGCCTCAGGGACATGTGTCACATCAAGAAAGCACGGATACTACAGCACCGAATGCACAGACCATGCCTCCATCAAAAACAGCAGAACAAGATACTATAAGAATTGCTGAAAAAGATACATCTGCAGTGTCTCCATGGAATTTGAAAACCAAGACACCATTACCTGGTTCAAAACTAGAGACATCTGCAATGCCTGCATCACACAAAACACCACAGAGCTCTGTAGATGTCATTGTGTCAAGTTCAGCCCCCATAGAAAACATGGCAAACTATACAACAGAATTGCCTCCATCAGACAAAACACCAGAGGGTGTCTTAGATTCAAGGCCATCACCACAAATATCTGTGGAGACAACTGCACAAGACAGCTTGACAGTGCTTCCATCAGAAGTAACACAAGAAGCCTCCAGGGATCCTATTATATCAACACAAGAGTCAGTGGATGCCACAATACCTGGTGTACCTGCAGTGCCAACAGAAAAAACTAGTTTGTCAGCAGAGCTCCAATCTGCATCAGCAGAGACACCAGAAGGCACTGTTTATTTGAATGAAGCATCTGTAGGTCCACTGTCCAATGTACCATCTGATACATGTGTAGAAACAGAAGCTTCCAGTGGGCCATCACTTCGGGCCTTAGTAGAAGGTGCACTTTTTGCAAAGCCACACAATGCTACACCTGCACTTGAACAGGAAGATGGAAGGTTTGGTTGTGGGGACCTCAGCCCTGCTTTAAATATACAGGGAATCTCTAACACACTGAGTGAAACAGCACCTTCAGAGAGTTTTGATTCAGCAGTGGAACATGTGCCTGAACAGACAGGTGGCCATCAGCAAGACATGTCTGTATGCATATCAGTTGATCAACCAATACCTACAGGTCTTATGAAACCAACTGGAAGTAGAGGCAATACATTTGCTGAGTCATCGCAACAATCCCTTCACACAAACTGTACAGTTTCTCCTGTTGAACCATATATGGAAATAGAAAATGACATACCAAGTGACACAAGGGAATTAAAAGACAGAGATTTATCTGCTGGAAAGGCCTTTACACAAACAGAATTGACACCCTTAAAAGAGATTTTACCAGCAGTGGCAGCAACTGCAATTGGAGCCAAACAGGTGGTTACATTAGAGGCCAGTGACTTAGATGCAGACAATATGGTGGATGAGGTTTCACCCATTGAGAGACAAATGGATAAACAAAGCAATGCTGACAGACAAGCAAACCAAGGCAGTTCTGCTCAGGCACAGATTTGGCATGGGGAAGAAGAACAGCTTCTACAAACACCCTTGGAGACTGTTGTGTATGAGCAAATGGAAAAAGCTACTATTGATGCTGGATATGTTAAAAATGAAGATTCAGTTAACTTGCACAGAACAGACAAAGGTGTGGCAAATTTCCAGACAGACAACCAAAACATAGATGAAAATGTAGAAGAGAAATCAGTAACAACTACATCACAACTTGAACCAGAAACTCAATCGGAGTTTGAAATGGCATGGAATCCTCTTGCCAAGTCATCAGAAAGAATTGATTCATCACCATCAGCAGTACAAAGTGAGACACATTATTCAGTGCCAGGATTCAGTTCTGATTTTACAAAACATTTGTCACAACATGCAAAGGATGAGTGCATGAAAAATCCTCTTGAGGATGGGAAAGACGACTGGAACTCCCCAGATAAAGCATATAATCCTAGACCACAAGATGAAGAAACACCTTCTATCAATAATGGAGATTCCAGCACAGATACATCATCAGCTGTACCAACACCAGGATATCAACAATCTGAGAAAACTTTGTACAATCCCCTTTCAAATATAGTCAAAGAACATCAACCATGTGCAGATTTTAATCCGGATGAAACAGCAGCAGCATCACAAAGCTCACTTGTACACACGGTGGCCCTTGAGTCCCCTGTTCAGGACATGGCTGGTACTGAACCTGTCAGTACAGGTGGTGAGACAGTTCTACCAAGTAATGATGATCATCTGTCTGAAAGAAACCTTAGATATGGAATTGAGAGTGAAACCAGTTCTGTCTCAGTAGAGAATGTCCCAGTTGAGTATCACATGCACCAGCAACAACTTGGGCAAACTACAAAGTATACCAAAAGCAAGAGATTTGACCATGCAGAAATGCCATCAGTGGAAGCAGAAAACAGGCCATCACTTGGAAATCTTACTCAAAGTGACCCACACCAGCGCTTCTCAGTTTCTGCTCCTGGAAAACCACTTGATGGCTACTCGAATGAATATTCAGAGAACAGTTATGACAATACCTTCCTTGTGGAAAGATTAAGTGGTGAAGGAACAAATTATCATCAGGATCAGATTGATTCCAAAGCATTTATGATGAAGATGAGGAGGATCTTATGATGGCAGCAGCTTCAGCAGCTGTGGAAATGGCATTAGATGAGGATGCTACTAGTGCCACTGAAGATATGTATATGGTTGAGGTGACACCAATATATAGTGATGGGGAAGATGATCAGCAACAGCTTATGACATCTGATAAAGAACCAGTTTCTCTGGAAAATAGGGTGCATCCATTCACAGCCACAACATTAGAAAAGGGCATTTCACAAATCACCAAGCCAAATATAGGTGTGAGAGGAGTACATCCTGGAGTCACAGAAACCAACAAAATAACTGAAGAGGATAACACAGATATCCCTGAAATGTCTTCAGAATCACCATCCATAGAAACTCCACAAAGACCAACACTTACTCTTTTGCACCCCACGTCAGATACCTCCAACTTATCTGACACTTCCACTTCCCCTAGCCAGAGTTTGCCAGCTACCAGTCCTTCTACTGATGACACCATGAGCTTACTCTCTCTTGCTGCTCGCATGTTTGACTTTGAGTCATTTGAATATGGACTAATGTTTAGGAGCCTCAGTCATGAAGGACTGGAAAAAGATGGTACAACAACAGCCACCAGAGAGAAAGAGACATCAGGTAGAGGGAATGCCCATCGACGGTTATCACTGCAGTCAGGTGTTCTAAGAGAGCTCAGTGTTGAGAGAGAAATTTCAAGGGAAGATAAAGCAATTCCGAAAGCCGAAGAGACTAGAACATGCACCAAAGCTGACCAGAATAAAGACCATAGGCATAAAGAGCCACCCACAGATTCCACCGATGAAAGTGCCCATTTGACAAGCGAAACAAACTTACTTTATAGCTCTCAGTCGGATGATACAACTTCAACTCAGAAAGTTTATTTCAAGAACAGAGAAACTTCACTAGATACCTCCCAAAGCAAGAGAGCAACCCAAGAAGTGCAGCTGCAAACTGGCTCATCCCTGTTAGATCTTTCCCAAGAAGATAGTACAACCCAAACATGTAAAGAGTTTGTTAAAGAGGACACATCACAAACTGAAGCCAGTGAAACACACAGCTTTAGTACACAGACAAGTAGAGCTCCCACCCCTGTTGCAGACAGTACCCAAACAGCAGTCCTACAGATGGACATTTCTACCCAAGCAGAAGAGACTGAATTGATGAACAAAGTAGACTTAGATATGACAAGCCATAGTTCACATATGCAGACAAGCAGGGGATCTTCACCTGTTGCAGATTTTATTCCAGTTAAAACATTACAAGGTGTCATGTGTACACAGACAGAGGAGGCTGATTCTAGCAATGAAGGAGGCAGCCATCAAGTGATCAACTGTAGCTTTAGTACTCAAACCAGCAGAGGTTCTTCTCCATTGCCAGATATAACATCTAAAGTTTCGCAGACATCCATGTCTACCCAGACAGATGAAAGTGATTCAAGTAAGGAAGAAATTCAAAGGGAATTTATTAGGAGTCACAGTTTCAGCACCCAGACAAGCAGAGCTTCTTCTCCTGTGTCAGAAAATACTGCAGTCAAAGCATTACAGAATGTCATGTCAACCCAGACAGATGGAAGTGATACATTGGATGAAGCATCACAAAGAGGACTTTTGACACACCATGCTTCGAGTACTCAGACCAGCAGAACATCTTCTCCATTGTTGGACACTACTCCAGCAAGATATTCCCCACCATTATCAAATCAGGCTAGTGAAGTTACAAGTCATAGCATGAGCACACAGACTAGCAGAGCATCATCTCCCATTGATGAGACAAGACCTGCTCTAGTTCACATGTCAACTCAGGCAGGTGACAGAGACTCTAATGAGAGCCAATCAGACAAGAGAACAACTAACAACTTCAGTACTCAAACAAGCAGAGAACCATCTCCTGTTGAAGAGAGGAGACCATCACAGAGTGACATGAGATTGGCTCAAATTCACATCTCAAATGAAGCAGACGATAGTGACGCCAGCAAGGACCAAACGCCTGAGAGAACAACAAACAACTTCAGTACTCAAACGAGCAGAGAACCTTTTCCAGTTGAAGAGATGAGACCATCACAGAGTGACATGTCAACACAGGCAGATGACAGTGACTCGAACAAGAAACAAAAACCAAAGAAGTCAGTCCATAGCTTCAGCACCCAGACAAGTAGAGAGCCATCTCCTGTTAATGAAGTTCAACCTGCTTCATCTGATGTGTCAGCTCAGGCAGGTGATAGAGTATCTTGCCAGAAAGAAACAACAAACAGTTTTAACACTCAGACAAGCAAAAACTCACCCCCTATGGATGAATTAGCACCATTCCAGACTGTTAATTCAACTCATGCTAATCAGAATGACTCAGGTGAAGAGGCAGAAACATCCGGTAGGTCTTCACCTGTTAATGAAATACCATCTGTGGAACAAGGTGAGACAGAAATTGGTGTTGCAGCCAAGGGTATGTTAGAGGGAGTTCACATTCCCCAAATAAACAAGGGAGGTGATAAGAGCAGCCAGGATCAGCCAGTGTACAGGGAAGAAAGAGAAAATGCAGAGTATGGTAGAGAAATAAAGTCAGATACAGCATCAGAATCACCACAGCCAGCAGGCCATGTGGATTTAGCAAATAATACATTTGCAAACCAAGAGGATTCTGAAGTTTCAATACCTGATCAACTGCTCTCACATGATACCCAGGGTTCCAAGTCCAGAAAACCCGAATCTTCAGTGAAGTATCCTGACAATAGTGAATTTTCTCCAAATGCCTCCTCACAAGATCTTGAAGGAGGTCAAACCTTACAACATTCATCTAAGAGGCATACCCCAGACCAGTCTATTGAAGTCCCATCCCCAATTACTCCTAGAGGGAGATCAGCCAGTTTACCATCAAACATCACTGATCTCTCTTCCAGTCTTCTCTTCCAACAGTCTGCCCCAAGCAAGACTTCCATCTCTTCCTCTGAAGAAAGACTGTATCTCAGCAATGATGAAATGTTTGGAGATTCTTCAGGCAACATCATTGAATCTATGAGAACTGGTAGAGTTTCAAATGAAGACAAGACTCAAAGAAAAACCCGGCAGCAGAGATCACAAGGCTTCCAGACAGACTCGTCTTGGCATTCTACATTCTCAACCATCGAAAGAGACATACCAAGAGGCTGGGGTAGTTTTGCCTCCCAAACCAGCCAGTCCATTGAATCTCTTCTCATCAGACCGAGAAGCACAGCTGATGTTTCTTTACAGACCAGACCACTTTTTAGCATTGGATCTCAGACCACACGCTCTTTGTGGTCACTCTTTGATTTGAACACAGAAGAAGAAACCCCTTTCAACAGGACCAATAGTTTTGGCATGCAGACAGGAGACTCTCTTATGTCTCTGCTCACAGGCCAGAGTAGAGTCAGCAGTGCAGCAGATCTCAATGAAGCATCTAGCTTTATGGTCAGTGAGGGCCTTCAAACAACAGACTCACTATGGTCTTTGCTGAGTTCCCAGTCTGATCTGGATATGGCAGCAACAACAACAGCAGTTGCTACTGATGAACACTCTTTTGAGACTGAACATCAGTCTGAACCACCATCTCTTTCCACACCAAGCACTGCTCCTAGAAGGCCCAGCGCTGGTACTGTTGAGGTTGAAATGCCACAGTACACCATCACTCCACCAGATATTGAGGCCCTTAGGAAAGAACATGCTCTGATGATGGCTCTGCTGAGGCGAACAGGAGAATCAAGATCTACCAGCAGAAGAAAGTGGATGAGTCCTACACCAACAATGCCTGATCTGAATGACACAATTCAGCAAAAATCACCAATGGAGCCTATTGTGTCAATGCCTGGTAAATATTTATTTGATTTTCTGACATTGGGCTTTAAGCTGTTTTGGTTGCAATATGGTCTAGATAGAGCTCAGGAAGATAACGTGTACTCCTGTTGTAAAAATGAAGTTTAGTTCAAATGAATTGCAAGCATTATTTCCATTTCATTGATGGATAGATTGATTAAGGAATAGTAGAATACTTAACAATTTGTATTAAATAGATATTCATAAATAATTTCTTCATATGATACTAACAGGCTGCTGTATTGTATTTTACAGTTGACTTGTCGTCTGTAGTGACCACAGCAATGCAAACAACCAGCCTGACTCTGCCAACCATAGTCATCAGTGGATCTCAAATTAAAGACTTTAATATTGGACTGCCAATGGTTGTTACATCAACAAGTTCAATTTTGTCACAAAATGCTGAACTAACATCACATGAAACATCAGATGAATTGACCAGAACATCAGATGAGTCACATAGCGAGAGATCAGACACAACCCAGGTCAAACATTTGACCACAGGTGATAGTTATTTCACAGTCAACACTTCAAATAGAGGGCTTGGAGGTGTAGATATATCAGGTGTAGTTGATGAAGAAGATGGTAGAGAATATTGCGATGTAGAAACAACAAGCACCCCTTCTCCTGCTGCCCAACTTCCTATACAAAGAAGTACATTGGTGAATACAGCAACCTCTGCCATAGGGCCAGATACAACAACTGCTGATGTGCTTACTTCTACATCATATGGTGGCTTTGTATCTGAGAAAGAAATGGATAATAGCAAGGAAAGCGAAAGCAATACTACAGTGAGTGTGTCTGAATCTACCAGTGACAGAATAAGTTTCCTCAGTGAGGGTACACAGGCAGATACATCCTTGAATATCACTGATGATTTCACACAAACAGATCTTGACTTGTCTTTGTCACCCAGAGATCACCTTGATGAATCTATTGGAACTGATGATCAAGAACGTCATCAACAAATTCTTGACGAAATGGAAAAATTGCGAACAGAAAGGTTACGTATTATAAGTCTCCTTGCTTTGGATTATGTTCCATCAAGGATTTATGTGGAATTGGCTGAAGCTCAGTTGAATTATGCATTTGGACAAACAGACATTCTGTTGAAAACTTTAGAAGAGAACTGGGATGATGACAGGCCATTAGAAATGTTCAAATTTGAAACAGGTGCACAGCACCTAACAGAAATTACTGAAGAGTACCTTGAGAAATACCGCACTCAGTTGGAGGAGTCTAAGAAGAGCATTGAGAAAAGGATTCGACATTTGGAAAAGGAGAGACACAAAGGCAGAAAACCCAGAGCCCTTGTGAGGAGTGAAATGGCCAAAATACGACGGCAAGCTGAAATTGAAGTATTTAAAGTAGAACGAGAAAGAGAACAGAAGAGTTATGAAAGCACCAAAAGCCCTAGTCCTGCTAGACGTGATCACGGAACTGATCATGAACATCATGAGCATGGCCGTGACCACAGCTGGGACAAAGGTGATACAGTCAGCGAAACCAGCAGTCAGAGACCTCCATCCTCATCAAGGAAAAGCAGTATTACTAGTAGCATTAAAATGTCTGAATCTGGTGGCTACTGGACCCCAATGCATTACCTCCAACATTTAGCAAAACTGAGAAAAGATTTGGTAAAAACCAACAAGGAGACCACAACATCAACACCGTCTTCTACTGCCACATCTGTAAATGTGGCCAACAACTCACTCGCAGCAAGTTTGGAAATTTCTCCAAGTTCAATGTCCAGGTCAAGGTCACGTTCAAGATCGCCTAGAGAGGAGACTGTGTCATATGCATCAGGGCAATATTCAACAAATTTGAACCCTGATGCCAATCAGAACAAGTCAACAACACCCAGACCGTATCCAGCAGATGATGCCAGTAGTGGACCATCAGCAAAAAGTACATCTCGTCTGCTATATCACAGAGAACCTCCGAGAAAACTATCCCCTGAGCATCCTGAAAATGTGCATCTCCATGAATGTCACAACAACAACAACTATAGACTTCATCACCTGGAACCTGAGAGAGACTATGGAATTACAAGACCACCACTGCCCTCTCTGCCTAGCACGGAGAGTTCTGTCACTCTGCCATTCTACAGCTCTCCATCGGTGAGCTCTCATTCTGTAGGCTCATACAGAAGCTATACAGTCAAAGATAGTGAAGACACCACAGCATACAGACCAAAGGATACCTTCAGGAAAGATGTGGTTGGAGATGTGTTAAGCCCCAAGGTTGCCAGGCGAAATCTTCCCACCTCTGATCAGGCCAGTGTCCTCACCTTTGTACGATCACTTCACGATGAGACAGAGAGCTTGCTCTTAGAAACTCAGCAGATGAGGAGACAGAGCAGGGCAGAAATTGAAAAGGCCCATGAAAGTTTGAAGAAATCTCCAAGAGAGAAATACTCTGTACCTAGACCCAAGGCATCATCTGATAGCAGGTAACAATCATTGGCATTAATTTGTTTTTCGTCTCTACGCATTTGGGTCTTTGTTTGCATGTGTCATCCCTGAAATTAACTTTCAATATGATATTGAATTGTTTTTGATTTTTCAATTCCATAACAATTTTTGATAATGTAGTGTATTTTTATGTATTAATAAATTTTATCCTGTTATCATTTCAGTTCATGGTCAGCCAGACCTGAGCCTAGAGCATCATCATCATCATATTTCTCCTATGACAGGAATGATTATTATGATGATGAGTTAAATAAGGAAAGAAGAGAAAGGGTAAGTAGTTTAATGCTCTGAACTTCTGATGTCTAATGTCTGATACTTTTGGAGTTCAATGTGTGATCCATTTTATTGTCTTCTAGGAAAACAAAAAATAGCTGAAAAACATATAATTCACACTTAAGTGACATAGAAAAAAAAACTAGAAAATAAGATACTATTAGTGTAGTAAGTTAAAATTAAATGATAGATTATCTTGTTAACATTACTTTGCATTTGAAAATCACTTCTTTGCTTTTACTGTCATCTTTTATATACCACTTTGTTAATTATTTTGTTGTAGTTGCTTCTTTTTGTTCATACAATTTTTAAAACTGCATTTATGTGTAGAGATTCATTATGTGCTTTTCACGTTGTTATAATTTTGATCAACTTGCATAAAGTAACCCTCTCCATAAAAACTGTCACGTTATTTTATTATTGCTTTTAATGTCTTCAGTCTAAAGTAACTTTCAGATTTATGTTAAACACATAGAATGGCTTTTGTTGTCTATCATTTAGATATATTGTCTTTTAACTGCTATTGTCACTTTATGTTAGATCAAATAACCCATCTTTTGCATTTCCATGTTGAATTACAGGTCTCAGCTAGTAAATTTACAGGATACTATCAGGTACATCACTGAAGTGTTGTAGTTTATTTATGATGGTTTGATTTCTTTGGTGATGGCATCCCCCTTTGCACCTGGTTTGAATTGTATTGTGTTTGTGTACTGTGCTTGTCACCCCGTGTTTCAGATTTATTTGACGGGAAGCTGAAACTCTGGGTGGTAGTATATATATATATTCATGGTGGAAACTGGTATACATCCAAACATGCAAACCAATAGAAGTGTTCTGTCTACACTAGTGAACACTGATTGACACTTCTCCCTACCTCTAGCATTGCTGACTCTACCAAATTGCAGTTTCTACCCTGACATATGTATAATTTGTCAATATTCATATGCATTTATTGATTGGTGGATGTTTGGAATTTGCTGCATGCTTACACTTGTTATCTTTAGAGCAGTAGTTTAGAACTGTATATTTTGGCACACTTAACCTGCAATGGGGTTTTCATTTCTACACAGTTTTTAAGTCTGAATCCCTATCTCAAATGTATAGAAAAATGGTCAATTTTATTAAATTACTTTGAAAAGAGACATATGCTTTTCAAAAATATATTTTGCAGAATCCAGTTGTTCATGTAGTTGCCCACATCCTGAATTTAGTTTTAAAATCTTTTTTCGTGTTCTGTATTGTAAGAATGTAAAGTTTATTTACTGGGTCTAGGGTTTTGTTCCCCCCTGGGTATTTGTGTTTGATTTGTTGCACTTTGTTCTAATAAGTGCCATTTTTGTGTTCAGCTTGTATAAACTATATATTTCTGCACTGCAATATCCCTACAGTAATATAGTACCCATGTAATATAAGTTAAAAACTCCAACATTTTTAAAACAAAATTTACACATACCTTAAAAAATTACCTGGTCTGGATGCAAAATTGTCAAATATGTCAATTATTTAAAAGCTTTTAAGTAACCATAGTATTTAAGTGTATCCACAATATTTCAGTGTTTTGATTTAAACCATACATCATCAGCCACGTGCTTGTTATCTGCATGATATAAGTTCTCTTTTCTCTTTGCTGTTCCTTCTGGCAGCTTGGCCTTCTAAAATTAATCACAGAATGCATTAAATTCCTCAACAATCAGATCTTAACTGTGATTCACACTTACGGTAATAGATTTTATTTTGTCACTTCTAATGATTTATAAATATTTGCGTTGTAGGAGATAGATGATGAAATTGAGGCTATGCGTAAAAAGTACCACCTTGACACCCCTGGATTACATCACAGTGAAAGTCAGGAATTTACTGGTTACCATGGCGATGATGGAAGAGAGCAAAGGTGAGCACTGATGCAGACAATATAGATAATATTGTGAAAGGAAATTGGACAAGATATTTTAAAGAAATGTGGAAGGTACTGACTTCCAATTGTTATTATAATTTTTACAAAACATATTTCAAAAATAATTTAGATAGGAGTATGTAAATTGGGCTTTTGTCAGCATCATTCATACATCAGCATTTAGTCAGGACATATTTAGTTGTCTACACATTTAATCTGCTGTTAAGGAACACCTGTTCACAACTTAAAAGGAAAGTCTTTAGATAACTTATATTATTTTAATGTTTCAGTTGGGATGCATCTTACCACTCACCATCTTCACTGAACTACAGAAACGAACCCACATATAATACAGACTTTGATTACCCAGCTTATGAGATAGCCCCAAGCCAGTCCCCATACAGGTCCCCCTCACCATCCAGAAACACCTCGTACCTGAGCTCCGGCTATGCCAGAGATATACTGCTGCGCAGTGAGAGAACAGTGGAAGCAGCTTTAACTTCCAGGCAGCGCACCAGAACCGAAACATCGGGACTAGGGACATTGGAATGGGAGGTCCCTGAGTTGAACACAATACCTTTCGAACCATTGAGTGCAACGGCCATTATGTCCAGGATTGAACAGAGAAAGCGTGAAAGGAAAAATTCTCACCAATATAAAAGAAAATAACCTAAATGCACATTCTCTGTGTGATATCCATATCTTATCACTCTTGGAGAAAACACTGACAGGTGGATTTTTTTAGGAGAAAGAAAAAAACTTTCACCAACAACTACTAATTTAAGAAACACCTTGAGAATGAAAATGAACAAGAATTTTTAAATATATTCTTATCCAAGAATTTTGTATGGATTTTAGCCGTCTATGGGAGAAATGATATTTATTTTATTAAAGATTTTTAGATGAGTGAGATATTACATTAGGTAGAGTACTGTACACATTGTAGAATTGAAAATCTACCCTAAACTGCCATGGGGCTTTCATTTTGTAGTATATAGTAGACAGATAAGGTAGACATGCTTTATAGCTTTTGATAGTTGTGCCTTATATTCTTTTAACTTGTACATACACAAGTATGATGTCATAAATTAAACAGAAACTCTACAGAGAAATTACAAAATAATCTGAAATTTGTGAATGGTGTGTAAAAATTGAAAGGAAAAATGCCTTTTGAATTGAGATTCTGATTCCACAGTTATAACTGAGTTATTCTACTGCAGCTAGAATGCAGGCATGCAAAAGGAATTATTAATTTTGTACAGTGTTAATATCCCAGTTGTTGCTCAAAATCAAACTGAATACATACCACATTATACGTGTTTCATTTTTATTTCTCAGTTGTTTTTAAATGTTTTCCTTTTCATGGCAAATTAAACTAGTTTTGATGATAGGATTTGCTTGATAATCATTCAAAGAAATACAACATATCAAAATTGTTTGTAATGTGTGGAATATGCTGATTTAAAACAAAGTGCCACAAATTTATTTATATACGTGTATATTGTTGTAAATAGAGTGTTTTACTTACACATAAATGATATATATAAATTATATATATATATATATATATATATATATATATATATATATATGGTGTGTGGTGTTTTCAGTAAGACATTTAATGGAATCTGGTATAAAAAATGCACTTTTAATTTAAGATTTCATACTGTAGCCATTTTACAAGGTACAGATAGTTTGTATACATTTTAAATGTTTTTTGAAAATAAGCTATTTTTATACAAGAAAATTGTGTACATATATACTTTGGGTATATTTCCAATTGTTTTCGAGAGTGAGGACAACTTTTTGTTTAAGTTGGCAAATGCCATGTAGATCTGTTGAAGTTTTTTTTAAGTTATTCATTAATAAACTATTTATTTGAAAATATTTTTTCTGTTACTTCTTAGGATAAATCTAGACACCAAAGCATATACACGCACATTTAAGAGATAAAAAACCTTTTCATTGCTTTATTTAACATAAACAGACATATGCCAGTAAACAATAAATTCCTTTAGGAGACGCCTCGCACCAAACAAGCAACAAATACTACATTGTACAAACAGTTATCTCATATCAGATCAGAACTGTAAGACTGAAACGTCAAATCACTCTGCTTAAAACCAAGGCATGAACCGACCACCCGAAAACACGATTGATATAAATCCAGATGATGCAATCAGGTGTAGAGTACGTCTTCTAAATTTTGAAAAGCAGATAAACTAAAGATGTGTAAAGTGCCCTTTTATCTTATCTAAATATATATATATATATATATATATATATATATATATTCAATTTTATGTATCATCATAACTGAAGCAGTTCAATTAGGAAATTCTTAATGTAACAAACACGGGGCGTTAGAACGAAATATATAAGAGGCTAGAACCAGACGAGCTTTTAATCAGACAGCGGGACGGTCTTACACAGATTGACAAACGTATCGTGAAACCCACCCATCCCACTTATGACTCAAAAAGCTTGAAATTCATTTACGCAAATATGTTTATCTTAAATTTTATTGAATATACTTCAGTTGACGTGAAAGATGGCAAAACATACTCCACCCCGAGTTTTGCATTTTTGGCTATATCAGTTAATTCTTTGTTAACTATTTGTTCCCGTTCCCTCTCTGGCGCTCTTCGACTTCTTTAAACATCCCTAGATAGCATGGGTTTGTTGTACTTATGTCATTAAAAAGACACAAATACAAACGTAACCAATGTTTTGTCATATGAAAAGATTCAACATGCTGTGAATTTGTAAAAAAGAACGATATTTACTTTTACATTTTAGTTTTAATAATAAAGCATGCCAACTTAATAGTGCCAACTTAATAGTTCTCGGCTTTATACATGTACCTACATGTACCTCTCATACACGTGTTTGTAAAAATGATTATAAGTTTTAAAAAAGCTGAAACAAAGTATGTTGGTCATATTTTCTTCATGAAAACGCAAATTGAAACTAGGAACCAAGATAAAAACAAAAATCAAGATAAAACCTTCCCTTTCTCAGAACACATTCACGGAACACATTCCTTAACTTGCGACCTTGTATGTTCGTTTGCGTTTTTCTTTTCAAAACAAAAACCACGACGAAAAGTTACCCCAGTGTAATCGTAGGTATTACAAACAATTTTTTGTTTATCTATAGATTGATTTACATCACCAAAGCATGCAACAGCCACACGATGTCGACAAGTTCAGATTTGTGCGGCGTAGGCCTACTCTGTATACCTACAAATAGAAAGAAAAGTGAGTGGATTAAATTTTCAATCGTGATTAAATGACTAAAAATGGAATACGTTTGTGTCTAAGCATCACTATATGATCCGAATCAGTTTAATCGTACTTCTTAACCATCACGCGCGTTACCTAAATCCTAAAATACGTTTGCCACGGTAATAATGTGAATTAAACTAAGTTGTAAAAATCTTCACTATTGTTATGTCGCACGAGAAGAGATTTACGGGTATTATGCGTGCACCGCACAGACATCGCTTGGAAAGTGTAACAACACTTTAATACAAAAAACTTGGATTTTATGGAACGCCGTTTGTACAAAAAAGATGGAAGGATCATTTTGACCAGTAAATTTTTTTTTGCGAGGTGCTAACATCATTTTGAGATGGTCACTTTCATCATTTTGACAAGAACTTTGTTGGACCCCGGGGGAAGTTGCCCCCCCCCCCCCCGTCAATTTATGTAAAAGTAACTACGAGGTAAGAAAAATTGGCCTCATGCTCTTGTAAAGTGACCGTAGCCTACAATGCTAATGTCCCTATTTCACAAAGACCACGAATCCCACGAATCGCCATGAATTGACAAATTTCAGGATTCGTGGTTGAATCGTAATCAGTTCGTGAAGTTCCTAACAGATTCGTATATAATCGTAGTCAGTTCTTGCAATTCTTGATCAATCGGGAATTCGTGGCAAAAATTTTGAGCTGACTCGGGGCAAAAGTTGAACCCTCATATTACCCACAATCCTTTGCGCGCAACAGAGCTAGAGACCATTGTTGAAACAAACTCAATGGTTTGTTAAATAATTAGGGGAGACCGGGGCTAGTTGGCCCAGTTAGACACTTTTGGCCTTGTAGAGCCAACTAGGAATGGGTTAGAGTAACAAAACCGGTTTCAAAGTAAGCCCTATGAACTAAGCTACGTATGTAACACCATTATTTTTCAAATATAATGCCAGATGGCTCACAATTTGACAAAAAACGCAGTTGACGCCACGGGGCAAGTTGGCCCCAGGGTTGGGGCAAGTTGGCCCCCCTATACGAAAATGAAGTATATATCCCATATAAACGCCTTGAAATACATTTTATACATTTTTAATTTATTAAATTCATTTTTGAGAGTCTTTGATGAATAAATAGTTCAAATGAGGCAGATTTATTGAGGTTTCCGTACGTCACGTTGGGGGGGGGGGGGGATGTGTTGCAAGAACAAAAAAATCTATCAATAAAATTTGTTTTGTTTTAATTAAGAATAAATTAATAATGTTATAAAGCAGGTTTTTAATGAATAAAAACTAATAATAAATTTACGTTTTAAAAGAAAGTAATAAATTCAGTTTTAAACCATTGAGTTTGTTTCAACAATGGGAGGGGTGGAAAATCCCCTTGGGGCCACATATAACACTATAAATACAATAAAATCACCTTACAATGAATTAAGGCAAAATAAATGTTTTTCTAAGGAAAGTCCAGTGGATTTGCTTTCTAATACATACAATCAACAGAACATTTCTAATATAAATTTTCGAAAAGACACTAGAGAGCAAATTTTAAAAAATCAATCAGACGGTTAACTCCGGCAAGCTTTGTCAATTTCACCAACTTGTTTATTTCAAGAAGTTACAACTTCTTGTTTATTTCAAACAGCGTTGCGCGCAAAGGATTGTGGGTAATATGAGGGTCCAACTTGCCCCGAGTCGAGGGGGCCAACTAGCCCCGGGTGCACATTATTTATTTTAAGGGATGGCAGCCATTTATGGTGCTAGAATGAGCAACGATGATACATCTCTGTGAAACTTGAAACAATGAGCGTCAGTTTGATGCCCTATACATATCTTATATTCGATCAAAAGCCTATGAAAATAGATTTTTAAATCTCTTAAACAAAATTACTTTTAGGTGCAAAAATAGTTTATTTGGACTCACCGCTTAATTAAAACTTTTTAACGGCCGACACTTCCTTAGCATTGTAGGCTACGGTCACTTTACAAGAGTATGTGGCCAATTTCTTTACCTCGTAGTTACTTTTTCATAAAATGACGGGGGGGCCAACTTACCCCGGGGTCCAACTAGCCCCGGTCTCCCCTACCAGTTTAAAACTGAATTTGTTAGTTTCTTTTAAAACGAAAATTTATTATTCGTTTTCACTCATTAAAAACTTGCTTTATACCATTATTAATGTATTCTTAATTAAAACAAAACAAGTTTTATTAATAGATACAGACTTGACATTTAATATGGAATATTTCAGTTTTGAAGGTATGCCTTGGTTAAAAATGCGTTCTTTTTTAAAAAAACTCCGATCTCTTATAAGATATGTGAATGGAGAAGTGTGTAGTCAGGTATATCGCTACCAATAAACTGACTACTATGCCTGTTGCGCTGCTGCATTGTGTAATATGCAGTGATTTAATTGGGTAGT